TTTGTTTATCCAACTCCGTCCATTGACGGACATTTGTTTATTTTTCCTACTTTTTAACCCCTCTGAATAACACTGCTATGAACACGGGTATGCAAACACGTGTTTGAGGCCCTGTTTTCGATTCTTTGGGGAATAGGCCCAGAACTGCAGTTGCTGGGTCACATGGTAATTCTATGCCTACTTTTTCTAGGAAGCTCTGTACTGTCTTCCACCAGCGTCTACATTCCCACCAGCAGTGCACGAGGGTTCCAATGTCTCCACATCCTCACCAACACTTCTTTTTTAAAAATATGGAATGCTTCACAAATTTGTGTGTCATCCTTGCGCAGGGGCCATGCTAATTTTCTCTGTATTGTTCCAATTTTAGTATCTGTGCTGCTGAAGTGAACGCTCACCAAAACTTCTTGTTTTCTGTTTTTGTGTGTGTGTGTGTGGTATGCGGGCCTCTCACTGTTGTGGCCTCTCCCGTTGCGGAGCACAGGCTCCAGACGCGCAGGCTCAGCGGCCATGGCTCACGGGCCCAGCCGCTCCGCGGCATGTGGGATCTTCCTGGACCGGGGCACGAACCCGTGTCCCCTGCATCGGCAGGCGGACTCTCAACCACTGCGCCACCAGGGAAGCCCTGGTTTCTGTTTTTTGGTAGTGGCCATCCTGATGGGTGTGAGGTGGTGTCTTGCTGTGCTGTTGACTCGCGCTCCCTGATGATCAGTGATGCTGAGCATCTTGTCATGTGCTTGTTGGCCATGCGTGTGTCTTCTTTGGAGAAAGGTCTGTCAAGTTCTTTGCCCAGTTTTTGAATTAGGTTGTTTATTAATTTAAATAAACAAATTATTTATTTATTTTTATTTTTGGCTGCGTTGCGTCTTTGTTTCTGTGCGAGGGCTTTCTCTAGTTGGGGCAAACGGGGGCCGCTCTTCATCGCGGTGCGCGGGCCTCTCACTATCGCGGCCTCTCTTGTTGCGGAGCACAGGCTCCAGACGCGCAGGCTCAGTAGTTGTGGCTCACGGGCCTAGTTGCTCCGCGGCATGTGGGATCTTCCCAGACCAGGGCTCGAAGCCGTGTCCCCTGCATTGGCAGGCAGATTCTCAATCACTGCGCCACCAGGGAAGCCCTGGGTTGTTTATTTTTGGTGTTGAGTTCTAGGAGTTCTTTACATTTTCTGGGTATTAATCGCTTATCAGATATAAGATTTGCAAATATCTTCTCCCATCCTGTGGGTTGTTGATGGTGTGCTTTAATGCACAATGCTATTTACCTTATACTTTGGTTATAACCCAATACGACTTATTTTCTTTTTCACATTGTTCCAGCTTTGGCTCCTGGAAACTCTGTCAGGTGGCTGGGTTTACTTTCTTTATTCTTCTAATTTTATTGAGGTATAACTCACATACAGCACTGTATAAGTTTAAGGTGTACAGCATAATGACTTGACGTACATACATCATGAACATGAACCACAAGTTTGGTGAACATCCATCATCTCATATAGGTACAAAATTAAAGAAATAGAAAAAAACATTTTTCCTTGTGATGGGAACTCAGGATTTACCCTCTTAACGACTTTCATGTATAACATACAGCGTTAATTACATTTACCATGTTGTGCATTACATCCATAGTACTTATTTTTCTTATAACTGGAAGTTTCTACCCTTTGACTGCCTTCCTCCAATTACTCCTCCCCCTACCTGGGTTTACCTTTATTTTTTTTTTAATTAACAAAATATTTATTTATTTGGTTGCACTGGAGCTAAGGCTCCTTAGTTGCAGCTTGCCTGCTCGTTAGTTGTGGCATGTGGGCTCCTTAGTTGCGGCATGCAGACTTCTTAGTTGCAGCATGCATGTGGGATCTAGTTCCCTGACCAGGGATCCAACCAGGGCCCCCTGCATTGGGAGCGTGGAGTCTTAGTCACTGCACCACCAGGGAAGTCCCGGGTTTACCTTTATTATGTTATTTTCTGCTTCCTAGTTATGCTGCTTTATTTTAGTTTTTATTTTTATTTTTAATTTTTGGCTGCACCATGCAGCTTGCTGGACCTTAGTTCCCTGATCAGGGATTGAACCCATGCCCTTGGCAGTGAGAGCACAGAGTCTTAACCACTGGACCTCCAGGGAGTGCCCCCCTATGCTGCCTTTCTTATACTTCCTTCTCCCTTCCTATATTCTATTAGGTTCATTACGTTTTCTTTAGTCTTTTTTCCTTCCATAGATGTGGAAGTTATACAACCTATTTCTAGTCTTTTAGTGGTTATCTTAAGAGTTTCACATTACTTTTTTTAAAAAATAAATTTATTTAGTTATTTGTGGCTGTGTTGGGTCTTCTTTGCTGCGCATGGGCTTTCTCTAGTTGCAGCGCGCAGGGGCTACTCTTCGTTGCGGTGCGCAGGCTTCTCATTGCGGTGGCTTCTCTTGTTGAGGACCTCGGGCTCTAGGCGCTCAGGCTTCAGTAGTTGCAGCACGCGGGCTCAGTAGTTGTGGCTTGCGGGCTCTAGAGCGCAGGCTCAGTAGCTGTGGCACATGGGCTTAGTTGCTCCGTGGCATGTGGGATCTTCCCCAGACCAGGGCTCGAACCTGTGTCCCCTGCATTGGCAGGTGGATTCTTAACCACTGCGCCACCAGGGAAGTCCCCACATTACATTTTAATCTCAATCACTAGCCCTGGCCATTTCCTGAACACTACCGGATCTTACACTTGCATCCCTCCCCTCTTGCATGGTTGGTGGTCCAGGGTTTGGGTTTCTTTGACACCCCTTGTCCAGGGTGAGCTGCCCCCAAGCAAGCCCTGTGACAACGGCTCAAGATGGGGGCACACAGCCTTTCCGTGGGCACAGGAAGTAAGACGGGACAGAAGGGGGCAGTCCCAGAGCTGGGCAGGGGGCTTTGGGCAGGGGGCTCAGTCCACCGGGACCTGGGAAGACTGTGTCACGTGCAGCCCTGTCACCCGCCAGCGAGGAGGCTGGGGGGCTGCGGCACAGCCCAGGTGCCAGCCCCCACGTGGCTGCCCCAGCTGGCCGAGTGAACCTCAGGCGGAGGCTGTGGAAAGAAGGGAGGGGTCTGAGAAGCTCCGTGCCTAGACACCCCCCGCCCCGCTATGCTCCAGCCCCTCGAGGGAGCCCCCGGCCCAGCCGTGCTCGCCTGATTCCTGCCAGCACTGCCACCAGGTCCCTCTGTCCGCCCAAGTCAGGCTCAGCTTCATCTCAGCTGGGTCAGCTGCAGCCCTCCTGGGTTGTCGGCCTAGTGGCCACGCGGGAGGGGGGCCTGAGGGGGACAAATGTTGGCTCCAGTCGGGGCGTGGCCTGTGCACTGTGCTCCCCTGGGGTGGCAGTTCTGGGCCCAGCCCTTCACAGGGAGAGCCGAGCGGGACCTGAAGGCCAGAATTCCAGAGGAGGGGGTGTCACCCACCCTGACGTCCCGCCTACATGTCAAGGCCCCTGCTGTCCCACCAGGGCTCGACTTTGATGGGCAACAGGTGTCATTGAAGGTCAGCCACTCTGACACTCAAGTCCTGGGCTTGGGACTGCGGTTCTCTGCCCTCCCTCCACTGCCTGGGGGAGCAGAGATCTGTAGGCAACCAGAGACCCAGCGCTCAGCACAATAACACCCGGCATTCACACCCACACCCACACCCGCTCCCACGTTCACACCCAACCCACGTTCACACCCATGTTCACACCCACATGCAAGCTCACACCCACACCCATGTTCACACTCACACCAATGTCCACACCCACACCCATGCTAACACCCACACCCACACCCGCATTCACGCTCACTCACACCCGCACTCACACCCACGCTCACGCTCACACCCACACCCACGCCCACGCTCACACCCACACCCACGCTCACCCGGCTTTCAAGTCCCCACTCCTGACCCACCCTCCACCTTGGTGACTGTGTGGAGTTTCATGTGTGGGCACCAGCCACTGGGCCTCTCATCCCCTTCCAGTGTGACCCACTGCAGGGACAATCCCCACGCCTGGCGCCTTGTGGCATCTGGGCAACGAGGGACCCATCTCCAGAGCCCATCTGGTTGCACCCTGGGTTGTCCGGAAGCAGCCCCCGAGGTGGGGTGTGGGGTACGGGCCATGGGCTAGGGGTAAAGTCCCGCTGTTCTGCAGGAAGCCTCGGGCCAGCCAACAGGCTCTGGAATGAGCGCCCTTCAGAGTGTCCCACATGGGGCCACAGTGGTCGGTGAGCTGGGTCTGCACCTGAGGCCCCCCCGGAGGTGTGGGGCTTGCAGTGTCTTCTTACTGGGGACCCCCAGTGGCAGTGTCTGTGGGTCTCTTCTCTTCTCTGGGAGAGGATGACTGGTCTGCACCGTGTGTGTGTGGGGGCACTGAGGGAGGGGCTAGGGCCCCCCTGCTGCGCACATGAACTTTCCTCTCCCCCTGGCCTGGGGTTTCAGTCTGCGAGTTCAGCCGTTCTCTTAGGGGAGCCCATGGTTCTGTCCAGATCCGCCCAGAGAACACACCGTGTGCCCTGCCGTGGGGTAGGGTGGCCCTGGGGGCCTGTGCACAGATGCCCAGGTGCTGGGAGCACACTGCTCTGGCCTCCCTGGGTCCCCGCCCTTGGTCACCCTCTGACCTGATTAGGTCTCTGCAGAGAAACAGACCAATGGGAGAGAGCGGGAGGGAGGGAGACAGACTTATTTTAAGGAACTGGCTCATGTGGTTGTGGCTTGTCCAGCAGCTAGAGACCCAGGGAGGAGCTGAGGCTGCAGCTCAGGGCCAGAGGTTGTGTACAGCAGGACTCCTTCTTCCGGGCGACCTCAGGCTTTTCTCTTAAGGCCTTCCACTCTTCGGATGAGACCCACCCACATTATCAGGGTCATCTGCTTTACTCAAATCTACAGATTTCCATGTTGATCACATGGAAAAAACCCTTCATGACCCCCACGTTCACTGCAGCATTATTCACAGTAGCCAAGAGGTGGAAGCAACCTGAATGTCCATAGATTGACGGATAAACAAAATGTGGTCTATTCATCCAATGAAATATTATTCAACCTTAAGAAAGAAATTCTGACACCTGCTAAAACGTGGATGCTCCTAGAGGACATGATGCTGAGTGAAATAAGCCAGACGCAGAAGGACAAATACCGTCTGATGCCGCTCATACGACGTCCCTAGGGGAGTCAAGTCCGTAGACAGAAAAGCAGGAGGGTGGGTGTCGGGCTGGGGCGTGAGTGTTTAATGGCGACAGAGTTTCGGTTTGGGAAGACGGAAAGTTCTGGAGATCTACTGCCTAACAAGGCCCGTATAGTTTACGCTACTGAACTGCACACTTAAAAATGGTTAAGATGGTTAATTTTATGTTTTGTGCTTTGTACCACAAACAATACAAAAAAGACCAAACGAAAAGATTGTGGTTCATGACAGAGGTTCAGTATATGTTAGTTCCCTTTTCTGAGTAATATTTTATGCTAATTTCACCACTGTAATCAATACATATATGAAAAAACACACCTTCACAGCAACACCTAGACTAGTGTTTGGGCAAACATCTGGGCTTGTAGCCTGGCCAACGGGATGCAAAACTGACCCTCACGCCCTCCTTCTCCGCAGGCCCTTGCTCTCCCTGCACCCCCTGCCCCACTGCCGTCGTGCGGCAGCCCCCACCAGCCTTCTTCTCCTCCAGCTGTGGTCTGGGTGTAGAGATGCGACTAGTTTCCTTGAAATGGTCTGGGGATTTTTGAGGGAAGGGGTGGGAAAATCTTTTCTCACCGTCACAAAGCCTGAAGCCACAGCCCGGAGCAGCCAGGACAAAGGTAGGGCGCCCAGAGCCGGCTTCTTCTTCCATCCTGGCCCGGGGCCGCTGGCCCGGTGCCCGCTGGAGCCATTTTGTCCCCGTCAGCACAGATCTTGCGGCCTCAGCAGCTGTCCTGGGCCTCAGCAGGAAATGTCCCTGTGGCTTCCATATTCTGGCCCGCGGAGGGCCAGCCAGGCCGGTGGGGTACAGGGCATACCTCGCCTGCTAGATTCGTCAGGTGGCCATGGGGCCGAGGCAGATGTGTGTCGGCGTGCGTGACCCTGGGGGCCATGCACGGGGGTGAAGGGAACTAGTGGGGGCCTGTCTGTGACCATCGCTGGGGGCAGGAGCTGGAGGGGGGATGGGAGGAGCCCCCTCAGCCCCAGCTTGTAATCACAGACCTCCAAGCGCCGTGGCCGGGCCAGCAGGTCACTGCCCGGACAGGAGCACAGGGACCTGGGCCCGGGGTCGGGAGCCAGAGCCACCACCCCACGTTGGGGTGGCGGCGGGTGTGTGTCCAAGGGCTGAGCGCACATAGGCGGGGGTGTGTGTGCTGCTGTGGCGTCTTGTTACTAAACAGCCAGGCCACGGGGCTCCCTCGGGAGCCAGCTTTGCTCTTCTGAGCGGAAGGGGGTCAGGTTTCCCTGAGAATAGCCCCGACCGCCCAGAGGCACCTGGCTTGGCCTCCCCGTGGCCAGTCCAGCCCCCTGGTCCCATCCGCTCTGCATCATCTCGCCCCTAGTTCGTGGCCAGCTGTCTTCTCCTGGGACTGTGGACCCCCAGCCCCTCCTGCACAGGGTGGCCCGAGGGGGACCCCAGTGCATGTTTATTGAACCTGTCTTTAGAGGGTGTCTGCAAAGTGCTGGCACCGTGCTGGGCCCTGGGTCCTTGGGGATGTGAGGGCGACACCTGGCCAGGGAGGGCCGTCAACAAGAACCCTCACCAAGAAGTGATGACAGCCCGTGGGGCCTCCCGCTGCACAGTGGGGGAAGGGGCTCACTGGGGAGAAGGGAACAGCCCTCTCCTGCCCTGGCCCACGATGTCCATCCTTGCTGTGGCCCAGGGGGGCCTTGGCTGGGACCCAGGGTCAGAGAGGGAGCTCTGGGGTGAGGGGCTGCTCAGGCCAGGAAGGGCCACGTGGGGAAGGGCCAACCTGTCCCAAAATAGGGCTGACAGGATCTCCCGGCCATAAAAGGCTCTTGGAATCTGGACCCCAGGGACCCCGGGCAGCTGGATCCGCTAAAGCTCAGCCGCCCCCTCTGCCCCTTGTACTCTGCCCACAGCAGCTCCAGCGCCACCGTGCAGTGTCCCCTCAGCCAGCCACAGACATGGTAAGGCTGCTCCCGGCGCCCGGCAGAGCCCCCGGCGGGCTGGGCTGGGTGGTCCAGCAGGAGCTGGGCAGTGCCTGGGCGAGAGAGGACGGCGGGCAGGCCTCTGTGCACACGGGGATCAGGCTGGGGCCGTGACCAAAGGTGGGAGGGTCTCTGGGGACCTGAGGAAGATGTCCAATAAGGCTGGGGGGAAAGCGCGGAGTGGGGGGCCCGAGGCGGGGCCCTGCCGGCCACTGGCGCTGCTCTTGCTCTGGGGCCCAGGCCGGAGCGGCCCTTTCGGAAAGCGGCCGGGGCGGTGGCAGGCAGGGTGGCCCGGCCCTGGACTATCACTCTGGGATGCCAGAACAGGCTGGGGCCTTCACCCTGGCCCCCAGGCCAGGCTCCTCCCCACGCTGGCCATGGTGTCCCTCCCCTGGCCTCACTGGCTGTCCAGCGCTGCCCCACTGCACTCTCACGTGGCTGGCCTGCCCCTGCCTCGAGCGCCGTCCCCTCTGAGTGGCCTCGCGGAGCCTTGCTCTCCCCTCAAGACCCATCCCTGTGCCGCCTGGCCTCAAGCATGCTCTGGGCTGGGGCCTCCAGCCTCCCCTGGACTGAGGGGTGGAGGGGCTCCTGGCGAGCCTGGGCCCGTGTCCCCACAGACGGAGCGCCTGACGGCGGAGCAGATCGAGAAGTACAAGGGGGTCTTTGAGATGTTTGATGAGGAGGGCAACGGGGCGGTGAAGACGGACGAGCTGGAGCGGCTCATGAGTCTGATGGGCATCAACCCCACCAAGAGCGAGCTGGCCTCCATGGCCAAGGACGTGGACAGAGACAGTAAGGCCGCCAGGGTCAGCGGGAGGGGCGTCACCGGGGTGTGAGTGCGGAGGGGCTCGCCGCCCTCACTCGGGCACCTGCCGCTTGCTCCCGCAGAGAAAGGGTTCTTCAACTGCGACAGCTTCCTGGCGCTGATGGGGGTGTACTGGGAGAAGGCCCAGAACCAGGAGAGTGAGCTCAGGGCGGCCTTCCGCATCTTCGACAAGGAGGGCAAGGGCTACATTGACTGGGACACGCTCAAGTAGGGTCCCGGGCCGGCGCGGGGGCGGGGGCGGGGGGAGGGCCCGCTGGCTGCCACTCAGCGCAGGCTCCTGCAGGTACGTGCTCATGAATGCGGGCGAGCCCCTCAGCGAGCTGGAGGCCGAGCAGATGATGAAGGAAGCCGACAAGGACGGGGACGGGACCATCGACTACGAGGGTGAGTGGGGGATGGGCCCCAGGAGCCCGGCGGCCGGGTCAGGCCAGGCTGCCTACTTGTCCCTCTGCTCTCAGAGTTCGTGGCCATGATGACTGGGGAGTCCTTCAAGCTGGTCCAGTAGGAGCAGCCACTGCGGCCGTGGGAAGCCCGCTGCCTGCTGCCATCACCCTGCTGCCCACCCTGTCATCCACCCCACGCCGGCTCCGTGGCCAATAAACGCTCCAGCCAGACTCGTGTGTGGTTCACTGTCCCAAGGCTGGAAAAAGGGGCTGCAAAGCTGCGGGTCTGGAGGAGGGAGAGGGTTCTCCTGAGCTGCCCATCACACTTGGGCCATCACTTCTGTGGGACACCCGACACTGCCTACAGCCCAGCTCTGGGCTCCGGACACCAGCCGGAAGGCCAGGCTGGGCATAGGTTGAGGACCACGTACTCACGCTTTCTGCCTGCCCTGCGAGGCTGCTGCCCAAGGGCCCCTCCCGGAGCTCTTTCCTCCATATGGAGATCACTTAGATAGAAACTTTATTCTCTCTCTCTCCAAAAAGCTGTAGACATCACAGCAGGCTCTGAGCCCTGAGGCTTAGGTCTGTGGGGCCTCATCTGGACTGAGGGCCTGCTGGGCCTGAGCCAGGGGCCAGGGCTGAACGAGGCAGCGTGTGTGTGTGTGTGTGTGTGTGTGTGTGTGTGTGTGTGTGGCCAACACAGGGCCGGCTGGCTCAGATGCCCAGCGTTACATAGCAACGAGGCCAGGGCTGCAGCAATGTGCCGGACGGCTGGCCTTCCCAGGCGGGAAGGATGGTGAGGGTGGGCTGGGGTGCCCTTGCACAGTCCCCTGTGAGCACAGAGTGGCTGGTGGCATCGGGAGGCTCGGGAGAGCTTTCCTGCCCCCTCCGGGGGGGCACCAGGGCTACAGCCAGGGGTGTTGGGCATTGCGGCCCCACTCCTGGGGCCCTGGAGGGGTCTCTAGGCATGAGGCCTCAGGGAGGGGGCTGGGCTACTGGGAGGGGGGTGGCTCTTCCTGTCTGGTTTTAGCCATCTTGACGGTCTCATCGTAGGAGGGCGGCAGCTCAGGGGCATACAGGCTGTAGGCGGGAGGGGTCACAGAGTCGAGGTCCAGCTCCCCCAAGGGCAGGGGCAGCCGCATGCCCAGCGGGTACTGCACAGAGCTGTAGGCTGCAGGGAACCAGAATGGGTTTGTGGCGACGGGTGGCTCTGGCCCTCACCAGTCCCCTGCCGCCCCTTCAGGCAGGTGGGCCGCCGGGCGAGGTCTGCCGGCACTCACATGACACAGTGCTGTGCACGGGGCTGTCGCTGTCCGCGGGGATGGCTGTCAGGTCGCAGGACTCAGGTGCTGATGGCAGGTGTGGCTGGGCGTGCGCCCGCTTCCGGAGACAGCAGAAGCGGACACAGCTGGCTGTGGCCCCACACAGCAGCAGCAGGAGCACAGCAAGCAGGAGGAGCCTGGGCGGGGGGGCGACATCTGCCGCTGGACCGACCCCTGGCCGCTGGGCGCCTGCTCCCTGGGGGCAGTCACAGCCCGGTTGCCCAAGACAAGGCGATGGATAGGGTAAAAGACGACCAGGGACTCTGTCTCCAGGCCAGAGACCTCCTCCCAGCCTGGCCTGGCCTCCTGCTGCTGGCCTGCCCTGGCTGTCTCTCCAGGGCTGGCCACAACTGGCCTTGGGCTTACTCCCAGGACACGCTGTCCCAGACCGACTGCACAGTCCTGTGCCCAGACCAATGACCATGTTCACAGGGGCCTCCCACAGGGGCGGGGAGCGAGGGAGTGGGAGGTGGGCAAGCAGGCTACAAGGGAAGTCCTGCCCAGGGCCCCGGGGGTGTCCCTAGCCGTGGGGGACTCAGGCAGGACCCACGCAGGAGGTCACCCCTGGTGCTGGGGGAGGAGGCTGGGGTCAGCATGCCAGGCTCTGAGGGCCCCAGCGCCGTCCCGCCAGCGGCCCAGGAGGGGGACAGTGCTGGCGACGCCTCGGCCGTGGAGCCAGGCGGGGTGGGGGTCTGGTGGGCCTGGCCCGGGGGAGAACCGTCGCACCCGGCTGCGCGCCGCGGCCTCCACTTACCCCACGTGCCACAGGCTGCTCCAGCGGGCCTGGGGCGGGCACCTGCGGGGACGGGGGCACTTGGAGCAGGCGAGGCAGGGCCCGGCCGACCGCCCTGCCCGAGCCTCCCCCAGGGTGGGGCCACGCCAGCTCCCTCCCCCCCGCCCCCACTTACTGATCCGAGGGGTCGCAGCTGCCTTCCGCGAAGCCCAGCGCCACCTGTGGGGACAGGGGTGAGTCCGGGCCAGGGCGCGCCGAGCGCAGACCCGCCCCGCGGTGCACGAGCCGAGCGCCCCGCGACCCACCTGCGGCAGCTGCAGGAGCGGCGGCAGCAGCAGGAGCCCGCGGTCAGCTAGGGCGCCAGCGAACATGCTCAGCGCCGACGGGAAGCGCGAGCCCACTAGCCTCGAGGCTTTATGGAGGCCCCGCCCCTAGGCCACCTCCCAGCGCAAGCCCCGCCCCCCGAGACCGCGTCCATTGGAGGGCTCGCCCTGTAGCCGCGCCCATGTGCCTCGCCCCTACCCTCCGCCCAAGGTTAGCCGCGCCCTTTAGCGGCCCCCACCCCCCCGCAGGCTCTGGGCAGGCCCTAGATTCCCCCGCTCCAGGGCCCCGCCCACACAAGCCCCGCCCACAAGCACCACCTCTTGGCCCTCCCATCAGGTCCGTTTTCTCTGTGTTTCCTCAGCCTAGGATCGCGGGGTGGGGGGCGGTCTCGCCCCGTTGGCTTCTTGCAGTCGGGCTTGGGGTGGACCGGGGCGCACCCTGAACAGCTGTGGCCCGGTCTGCACAGGGTGTGGCCTCGGAGGGTGGTGGCCAGGACACACGTGGCCACGCCTCGCACACACCCCGGTGCTCAAGGTAAGGGTTGCAGCAGTCAAGACGCTGGGGCGTTCCTAGCGCGCTGTTCAACTACATTTAGTGTGCCCGCTCGCTGCGGGCGCTCGCTGCCCCTCTGCCTTCCGCTCCGCCATCCGGGCGCTCAGGCTGAGGGAGGTGGTCAGCACGGCAAGGTGCAGGGTGGTGTGTCTTGTCTGGGGAGGGTGGGAGGAGAAGCTACCCCGCCGTGTTTTTCTTCATTGCACTCAGGACGTACTCCACAAGCATCTCCCCACTGGAGGGGAAGTGACTGCAGCTCCTTGAGGGCAGGGCCTCCTCGGCTTGGCTCTCTCATGCCTAGATCTGCCAGCTGCCTGCTCCATGATCTCTGCCCTGCCTCTGTCCTGCAGCTGTCCAGCACCTCCTGGCTGTACCATGGCCCCCAAGGCCCCTCCTGACTACCCTCTTCCTCCATTCTGCTTCGGAGGCCCGGCTCAGGAGTGGGAGGGAGGGGGATGGGCACTGGTCCAGCCAGCAGGCAGGAGTGCAGGCAGGGCCTTGGGCTGTGAGTACCAGGGTCCGCTGGTTCTAAACCCTGAGAGCCAGGCCAGGGTTTAAAGGAGAGTGGCCTGCCCCTCCCACACGCCAGCCTGAGGGGGAGGCAGGGGTAGTGCTCTGCAGGGAGGACCTCCTCCTGGGGCCTGGCCTGGGCTGCAGGACCCTGGCTTCTCTTCTCACCTAGTGAGAAAGCAGCCCCTGTGAAGGCTAGGAAAGGACCTGGGTCTGCCCACCAGACTGAAGTCCTGCAAAATGCTGCTCTGTGGACACCGTCACTGGCTCAAGGTTAGGGAGATGGCAGACTTTCAGGCACCGAGGAAGTGGGGTGAGGGCTCCAGGCTGGTGTCCTGAAGCCTGTGCCCAGGGAATTCCCCGGGTGCACCTTGCCCTCCACTCCTGCCAGGGAAGGCTGCGAGTGCTCGCCTGGGGGAGGCACGCGGGTGGCGTGGGCGGGCTGGGCGTGCTGGGGTGTACACAGGGGGCCCGGATGGGGGGCCTCTGTGGGGACAGTGTCTAACCTGCCACTCTCCAGAAGGCAGGGGCTGGGTGCAGGCACTATTCTGGGCTCCCAACAGGGTCTCATGGGCTGGGTGTCCCCCGGACCCTGGCTGGGCCGTGAGGGAGGACACAGTGAGGGCGTGTCCCCGACATTTGCTCACTCCTTGCTTGGGGGCATCAGGGACCCTGGAACTTGGGAGGAGCAGGGAGGTCTAAGGGGCCGCCTGGGCTTTGGAGCCTGTCGCCCCCCTCCCTCCCCGCCAGCCTCTCTGGGTGTGGAGCCCCGCAAGCCGCCCCTCCCCCCCCAACGCCCAGCTGTTCCCCCAGGGCTCAGTCTTCCAGGCCGAGTTCACTGTTTTATGGACTGACTTGTGAGTGAGGGTGGGAAGCAGGGGCTGCCCCCCTGGGACTCTGTCCGCATCTCTCCTTCACAGCTCACCGCAGGGCTCACCGCAGGGCTCACCGTGGCCCACACTGCAGGCCTGGATGCACAGGTTCACACAGGGTTTATTGACAGGTGGGTGGGCGCAGCTCTTCCCCCCACCAGGACCTTGAAAGGCTGTGCGGGTGCTGGTGGGGCTGGGGGCTCCGAGGGGCTCAGGCTGGGAGCAGGTTGTGGTCAGGACTGGCCTCATTGCCGGTTCTGAGTGTGGGGCTGGGACAGGAGCTCTTGGTCCCGGGCTCACTGGATACAGGGCAGCAGGAGGTGGCCGTGCCTGTGGAGCTGGGGTGCCCCGGCCATGGGGCCATGTGGGGGGCCACCCTTTTGAAGCTGCCCAGCAGGGATGTCCAGGTCCCAGGCCCCTGGCTGGCTCTGCTGGGTCCACAGACCGGGAGAGGGCTTCAAATGCGGCAGGAAGACCCGAGAGGGCTCTGTGGAGAGACTCCTGTGGCCTCAGGGGCCCGTCACCACCCGCGCTACGAAGAGGACCTTGTAGGTCTCCTTCACGTCCCCCCTGAGCTGCAGCAGCGCTGACACCATGAGTGGGTGGTCCGGCTGGAAGGGGAGAGGCGGGGAAGGAGGGGGACCCTCGGTCAGCTGGCACAGCGGGCAGATGTTTTCTGGCCGTGGCGCTGCCCACCTCACCCGCCCAGGGCCCCCCTGCAGCCCCCTCCCTGGGCGGGGGCAGGGCTGTCATCCTGCCCAGCCTGTGGCTTTCGAAGGCTCCCTGGCCGCCGTCCGAGGCACCCACATCAAAGTCGATGGGTGGCGTCCAGGAGACGCTGATGGTCTTGGTCTGGCCGCGCTCCACAGAGCCCTTGGAGGGCTCGATGGTGAAGCCCTTGTGCTGCAGGGACGCGATGCTGTCCAGGCTGAACTCGACAGTCTGCAGGCATTGGTGCTGTCAGCAGGTGGGCGGGCACAGCTCCCGGGAAGCGGCGGGACTGGGGATGAGGGAGCCCAGCACCTGCCCTCTCAGCCCTGACCAGCAGGCTGCCCACCCCACACCTATCGAGGGGCAAGGCCAGGAGGGGCCTGGGTTGCCCAGGCAGTGGTGGATGCAGAGGTGCCAGGCAGGCCAGGGAAGTGCTGTGGTCACCTTCTTTGGGGACGGCTGGGTGGTCCGGATGCAGCCCACCTGCAGTTCTCGGGTGGCAGGTGGGGCCGGCGTGTCTGTGTCCAACTGGACATAAGCCAGGGTTACCAGGATGGGCTTCAGCTCCTCAGCTTCTGGAGAGGGAGGGCCTGGCTGGGGGCTCAGGGCAGGGGGGGTACCACCAAGGGAGTGTGGGAGCTGGGTCCGGCAAGGATGGTGGGCGGGGCTGGGCGAGGCTGGGCGAGGACAGCCGGCTTTGGGGGCTGGGCCGGGAATGCCGGCCCTACACGCAGGCCTCCGGGGCCAAGGGTGCGGTCAGAACAGGACTGGTCCTCCTACTGCCGCCCCGGCCCTGTTGGGGCTCCCAGCACCTCAGAGGGCTCACCCTCTGTGCGCTCGGGGTCCAAGGCAGGGATCACGGTCAGGGACTCCACAGGCACATCCAGGGGGTCTCCGCCTTCCACAAACATCATGTGCTTGCGGGCCGAGCCCTTCAGGAGGATCTGGTGGGAGATTTTCTGGGGGCAGGAGCACAGCAGACTCGGTCCGTGACCCGCGAATGGGGTTCCGGGAGTAGGCAGTGCTGGGGTGCAGGCCTGTGGGACTCAGGACTCTGGTCTCTCCACCGCATGACCCCCAACCTGACGCAGAGCCCCCAGGCAACAGGACTCCAATGTGGGGCCGTTTGGGGGAGGGCGAGGGCCTCAGACACGCGGACGCGGGCGGGTTGGGCCGGGAGTAGGGGTCCGGGCTGGGGTCCTGGAGCCGCACCTTTTCGAAGAGCACGACCTGAAGCCGGTCAGAGAAGTACAGGCTCTCATGGTCCGGGCTGAAGGTCACGGTGAAGTCCTGCGCCCTGCCCGGCTCCATGACGCCCTCCACCGGGACCACGCTGAACACGCTCTGGCCGCTGTAGTTCTGCGTGCCTGGGGGTAGGGTGGCCTGGCAGGTCCGGATTCCCCCGCAGTGCCCAGCGCCCCCCAACCCCGCACCCCCACGCCCCGCACAGTCCCCTGCCAGCAGCGGTCACCCCCCCAGCCGGCCAAGCTCACCCACGACTTCCGTCCTCTGGGCCGGGGAGGCCAGGAACTGCGGCAGCCGGTGCTCGTCTCCGCTCCCGGTGGAGAGGCTGTCCAACTGCATGGAGAACTTGATGGGCAGCGGGGAATCGTTTTGCAGCTGCAAGGAGCAGGGCTCAGTCACTGGACCAGCTGGACTGGCCAACCGATGGACGGGCTGCTGCAACCAGGTCTCAGCTCCCTCTGCTGCCCCTGGGCCACACCCTGGGCAGTCAGGCTCAGGCTGGCCTTCAGCCGAACCAGCATCCCTGCCCAGGCTCTTCTCTGCCCTCACCCTCTTCCACTGAGAGCACCCCATCCCCCCATAAAACACTCCCTGGAATCCCTGGCCTGGGCTGTGCTGTCAGGACCTGGACTAAACCGGGCAGGGAAGCAGGTGTCCTGTGGGCGGCTCCATCCTAAGGTTGCCACGTCCCTCAGGCCCTGGGGAGCAGCAAGAGGCAGGCGCGCCTCCCTGCCCGGGCTGCGGAGCCCACACGGCCCCTCCCCTGAGCCGCCCCTCAGCTGAGCTGCCCCCAATCCCAGGTGGGGCAGCCCACGCAAAAGCCCTGAGGCGGGAGGCCCGGGCAGCAGAGGCACCAGGGAGGTGGGGGAGGGGGGTGTGCATCCTCAGCTTCTCCTGCTAGAGAGGGCCGTGGAGGCGCTGCTGGCGGGTGGGGTGGGAGCGGCCTGCACACGCACCGGCTCCCTGACCAAGGCAGGGCTGACCCCCTCCTGAGGCACGACCCCTCCCAGGAGGCGGGGCAGGCGCCGTGTCCCTGCCACGCGCTTTACCTTGAAGCCCACGGAGGTGGATTCTCCGGCGATCACGTAGCCCATGTTGAGGACGCCTCCTTCAATGGAGCACGTGGTCATGGACGCCACGCCTGTGCCCACGAGGGCCAGGGAGAGCGTGCCTCTCTTGGTGATGACCTCCAGCATTTCCCGGGCCTGGGGAGACCACATCCCTTAGCGTGGAGCAGACACGTGTCAGAGACAGGTGTGGGAGCTCCGTCTCGGAGCAGCTGGCTCAGGATGTGCGGGACCTAAGATGGCTTGGAGCTCCCTGGCCTTCTCCTCCTCCTTCCAGCAAGAAGCCAGGGCCCAGGAGGGCCAGCGGCTCCCCAGGCCTGGCTGGACGACTACGGGCCTGGGCACTTGGCAGGTGTGCAGAGTGGAGAGTGGGGCCGTGGAGCCCCAGGGCTGCAGCCCGGCTCAGGGTGGGCCTAGGACTCACCAGGACGCTCTCACGGGGGGAGAAGGACAGCTCCAGGACCTGGGTCTCTCCAGACACCAGCTTGCCGATGGGATTCAGCAGGACAAAGGGGCCGTTGGGGTTCAGCACGGAGTACTCCAGCTGATGGCCCAGTGTCAAGGATGGGTGACAAGTACGGGGCCGCAGCCCTTCACCAGACGCCCCTGTCCCCCTGCAGCAGGCTGCCTGGGCCGGGTATGGACAAGGATACTTCGAGACGCTCGGGGGAGATGTTCTGGATGGAGACTTTCTTTATGCCGCGTTGTCCTGAAACGGGGGAGTCAGGTCACTGCCCAGGCCTGGGGGGGGGCATGGGAGCCCAGGCGGTGATGGGGTGCCTGGGTCCCTATGGGTGGGGGATGGCCGTGGGGGGCTGGGCCCGATCAGGACACACCTACAGCGATGTCGCCGAAGTCAGCGATGGTCTTGCCTTTGTCGGACGTCACCACGATGGATGGTGCTACCGCTGGACACCACAGCTCCAGGTACACGGTGCTGTGGGCACTGAGGTGGCGGGGAGCTGCTGAGGGCGGAGTGGGCGCCGCATGCCCCGCCCTCTCAGCCTGACCCCATGCTGGCCCCGCCCAGATCTGGGGGCTGCAGAGCGGGGACGGTGACTTCTTGGCCGACCACGCCCCACCCTGCCCAGAGCACCGCACCTGAAGCTCAGGGGTTCCGTCCCCTTCCTGTCTTTGGTGTCACCACTGGCAACAACACAGGGGACCACAAACTTGTCAAACTTGCCCTGGAAAGATCTGGTCAGGGTGGCCTGCGCAGCCTGGTACTCCTGGGAGCTGCAGTGGAACCGGCAAGGTGCTCTCACACCCCTATCCCTAGGCTGCCCCCAGCGGCCCAAGAGGCCCCGCGCTGCCCTCCATGGAGGGGTCCATAAGGCCATGCCTGCTCCCCAGGGCCCTGGGCTAGAGGGTATGAGGTGGCAGCCTTGGGGGGCCACGTTGTGGCCCAGGCTGTGGCTGTCCCAGTTTTGTCTGACCAGCTGGTTTTCTCACCCCTTCCCTGGTTGCTGTGGCGGCCTCCCCGCTCCCCCGGGGTCTGGTCAGGCACCTAAGCAGAACGCCATGTTCCTGGAGCCACAGGCAAGGGTCCAGGGCTGGCGAGTGGCTCAAGCCCATTGCAGTTCTCTGGGGAGGCTGGGGCTGCTGAGCTGGGAACATGGGAGTCAGGGGCTCAGCATCTCCCCAGCCACTGGCCTGAGGCTGTTCACAGGGACCCTGGGCCCTAGGGCCCCAGGGGAGGGAGGTGAGCAGGTGCCCAGGAAGGCAGAGCCTGAGGGGACTCTTGGTTCCAGCTGTATCTGAAGCCAGCCCCACCCTGGCCTTCCAGCCACAAGGTTCCAAACAGCTCTGCTCCAGGTGGAGGAAGTCTCTGTGGGGGGCAGCCTTCTCTGGGGCCCACCTGGACGTGAGGTCCTCTTTCTGCAGCTCCAGGGGCTGGGAGGCAGAGGCCTGGGACAGCCGGTCTCGGTTCTGCAGCCGCAGTATGGAGGACTGTCTCTGCTGGTCCTTCCTCTGGGTGGCCGTGTCCTTTTGGGAGTGCGAGGTGGGAGGCCAATTGTGGGGCTGCGCCGGGGACTCTGCTCCCGGCAGACCGCCCAGGGCAGGAGCCCAGGGGCCCAAACTCCAAGCGGCTCCCTGGGGGACACCGTCGGCAGGTGCGGAGACCCCAGTGTCTGTCTTTACCATCGGGGAGACCGAGGCCCGGGGTGGGGCAGGGCGGAGGGCTGGCCGAACTGGGGGTCCTGCTCCCTGTGCCCTGACCCCAGCCTCACTGCCCTGCCAGCGGGCTGCAGGCCCTGCCCCTCCTCCTGTGCTTGCTATGACAGCACGGGTGCTCAAGATCAGGCCCCAGAGGCCGCGGGGAGTCGCGGGGTCTCTGCGTTCCCAGGGCAGCAGCAGGCAGGCCCTGGGCTCTGACTGCCCAGCTCTGTTGGACGCCCTTTCCTGGCAGGAGCCCGGCGGTGGCTGCCTCTCCAGGCCTGAACTTGCTAGGATTCACAGGCCCCTTTGAGGTTCATCTGTTCCCCCTCCATTGTAAGGGCAAGCCCCCTGCTAACCAGTGCACAGGGGCCCGGCCCACCCTCCCAGGACCACCGTCTGGGGATCCACCTCGCCTAGCGATGCTTTCAAGAGGGGAGGGAGGAGCCTTGCCGAGGAAAAGTGTTAACCTCTTGAAACAGTTCCACACACGCGAGGCTGCAGAAAAGTCTGCCCAGGGCTCCTGACCCCCGGCCCCCAGCCTCAAGGCCGGCGGGGCCTGTTCCCCAGCCTTTGTGCAGCGGCCTGGTGCACAGTGGGCAGCACCCCCGTCTCCCGCCCCAGGCTCCCCCCCCCCGCCCCCCCATGTACCGATTTGGCCTCAGCTTCTTTGGTCAGGGCCTGTAAGGCTTCCTGGTGGATCAGCTCGTGGGTCAGCACGGGCCGGAAGGCCACCCGGACCAGGCACCTCTGTGAGGAGAGAGGCCGGAGGGCACCCCGCTGCCGCCACCGCCAGGATCCCCTGGTCACGCTCTTGGACATCCTGGGGTGATACCCCATCTCTGCTTTGGGGTCTCAGCTTAGATGAGCCCTTCTGGACGGTCCTTCCTGACCTTTGCCCCCGGAAGTTGGGGTGGCTGCAGACATGATCACCAAGCCCCTCTCACCACGCGGGGGGGCGGTCCTGAGATGGACCATCCCACTGCCCACGGGGCACGAGTGAGAAGGGGACGTTTGTGTTCAGCCACTGAGACTTGGGGGTGAGTCCCTGCACCCTCACCTGTCCCCCTTTCTGAAGCACGTCCACCTTGCAGTCCACCCCCTGGGACAGCCCCGGGTCCCAAAGGGGGTTCACTCACCACGGCCTGCCCCGTGCTCAGTGCAGCAAGGGAGCAGGGTGGGTAACAGCTGCAGTAACCCCCTTGGAGAGGGGAACCATGACTTAAGCTGAATTTGCTCAGTTTACTAAAATGCATTTCAATAATCACTGAGACACTGCCAGGGTCCAGGGCCTGCATGTGCCCCTTCCCACTGAGTCCCCTCACAGTGGCTGTCACCCCTGACTCTTCAAGGTAAGGAATTCAGCTCGGAGGGGCTGTGATGGCCCCAGGGAGTCTCTGCCTCCAGGCCCGGGCTCTTTCTGCTTTATCAGCAAAAGCAGTGGTGGGGAAACCTTTCGCCAATCAGCCGGTGGGCAGGCACCCTGTGCTCCTGGTGACCAGGCGCTGTGTGGTCTCTGTGCCCATCTGCTGTGAGATCCAAGGGCTGCACACCCTCCCTCCAGCCAGGGGCCCGTGGGTGCCCCACCTCTGGGGCCAAGTTGGGCTGGCGGAGGGCACCGTGGCCTGCTTGGGTCTGATAAGAATCCAGGTTGATCTCCACGTCTGCTGTCTGGTTGAATCGCTGCGGTCCAGGGAGAGTAGAGACCGGCCCCTTGGGCTGGCCCCGCCCCGGCCCACCCGTGGGGCCCACACCCACCTTTCCTGGCCACACGGTGCCCACCGAGGGTGAGATGGTGATGGGGGAGTCTGGGGGCAGCAGGAACTCGAAAGATGTGGGCCCCACAGGGGATGTGTCCTCCAAGCCGATGCGGGGTACCGAGGGCGTCGGCGGGTTCATGCTCAGGCGGGAGTTGATGACGTACAGGGTGGCCACCGACGTGTTGTACAAGGAGGTGGCCGCAAACTTGACCTGGTAGTGGGACAGCTCCAGGAGCGGGTGGACACCCACAGCCCGGCACGTCAGCTTGAAGCACCTGGAAGTGACAGCGTGGGCAGTTCAGCTCAAAATTTTAGTAAATTTTGAAAATACTTTGTGCCCCTGTGCACATTTTAATAAGATAGTTAAAAATTTAATCACAAGTTTAAACATTTGCAAAGCAGGTAATTTCTGGCTTATTTCCTTAAATATTCACTGACATTTAAAAAATAAAACTGATAGGGGACTTCCCTGGTGGTCCAGTGGTTAAGACTCTGCGCTCCCAATGCAGGGGGCCTGGGTTTGATCCCTGGTCAGGGAACTAGATCCCACATGTTGCAACTAAAGATCCTGCATGCCGCAACTAAGACCCGACACAGCCAAATAAATAAATATTTTAAAAAACCTGATAACTTACTCCTTAAATATAAACATGGGAATCTATATACCATAGTGAATTGATTCTTTTTTTTTTTTTTTGGCTGTGTTGGGTCTTTGTTGCTGCACGCGGCTTTCTCTACTTTCGGCTAGCGGGAGCTACTCTTCGTTGTGGTGTGCAGGCTTCTCATTGTGGTGGCTTCTCTTATTGCGGAGCAAGGGCTCTAGGCGCGCAGGCTTCAGTAGTTGTGGCTCGTGGGCTCTAGAGCAGGCTCAGTAGTTGTGGTGCACGGGCTTAGTTACTCCGCAGCATGTGGGATCTTCCAGGACCAGGGCTCGAACCCATGTCCCCTGCATTGGCAGGCGGATTCCCAACCACTGCGCCACCAGGGAAACCCCGTGAATTGATTCTTGCCACCATCCGGTTTTAAGAAAAAAGAACAGATATTTGGGATTTTAACCAGTGGAAAATTTACAGTCCATGTTGCTTTGAACTCCTATTTCCATTGCACTCCTGCCATTGGATTTTATCCTAATTACATATGTTTTAATGCTTTATGAGGTGATGTCGATGGCCCTGTCATACTTGTCCGTAACAAAAATGTGTTCATAGGTTGAAATATTTCAATGTATATTTTTGTGTCCTGTGACCACAGGCTCTAAATGTTAAAAAAATTCCTTCTGGGTGGAGATGTCATTGAGGTTATTGTTACAAGTTAATTAGTTGAAATAGCACAAATGTATGGAATGTGATAATCATTACATATAAAAAGTAAGAGCTGCTTGGAGTCACTTCAGGAAGGTGATGGAGCTGTTTCCCAGCTGGTTCAAGGGACGCGGCCTGTGGCCTTGCTCCATTGACCTGGGAACTGGGGGTGGGGGGCCCACCCAAGTCCCCTCCAGCCCCTTCCTTTCCATTCTTGTGACCATGTGTCTTCCGATGTCCCTCTGAGGAGCCCCCCGTGGCTCTCTCAGGTCCTGCTCCACTTTGCTGCAGGGAAAGACCATCAGGTCCCATCACCCAGGCCCAGGCAGATGCTGCGACCTGCAGGCAGCGGGTTCACCCAGGACACCCAGGGCCACGTTTGCTGAAAAAATGCTTTTATCTCCGTGCACGCTATACATGTTTCTCTCCCCCTCAAAAACCACCGAGGTGAGATGAGTCCATCGGCGTGTGGGGAATGTTCTCCTGACCTCAGAGGCAGACATGCAACATGCCTGGCCTCCGTGCCTAGCTACGTGCGAGCCTCCAGCTTCTTTTATCTGGTCACACAGGCAGCTGGTGCCCGTCACAGGGGCCAGGCCAAGGGTACAATCAGCCCTGCTCTGGGGGTGTGCCTGACCTCTGGAATGTCATCACCATCATCATCACCATCACCAGCATCATCATCATCACCATCATCACCATCACCACTATCATCATCACCATCATCACCACCATCATCACCATCATCACCGTCATCACCATCATCACCACCACCATCATCACCGTCATCACCATCATCATCACCGTCATCACCGTTATCACCACCATCATCACCATCATCACCACCATCATCACCGTCATCACCATCATCATCACCATCACCACCGTCATCACCATCACCATCACCATCATCACCACCATCATCACCATCATCACCGTCATCACCATCATCACCACCACCATCATCATCACCATCATCACCGTCATCATCACCGTCATCACCGTTATCACCACCGTCATCACCATCATCATCACCGTCATCACCACCATCATCACCGTCATCACCACCATCATCACCATCATCACCACCATCATCACCATCATCATCACCGTCATCATCACCGTCATCACCACCATCATCATCACCGTCATCACCACCACCATCAACACCATCACCATCATCACCGTCATCACCATCGTCATCACCATCACCATCATCACCACCACCATCATCACCATCATCATCACCATCACCATCATCATTGTCACCATCACCATCACAATCATCACCATCATCGTTACCATCACCACCATCATCATCATCGTCACCACCATCATCATCATCACCATCATCATAATCACCGTCATCATTATCAACATCACCGTCATCACCACCTCCATCTCCATCAGCATCATCATTATCATCATCATCACCATCAGCAGCAGCAGCAGTACTGGGCCGAGGGCAGCAAGATTTCCCATCTTCTCCTGTTCTCTCTGGAAAATTTGTGTCAAATTGGCATCATTTTTTCTTTAAATGTTTGGAAGAACTCATCAGTGAAGCCATCTGCATCTTTCATTTTGGGAAGCTTTTAAACTTAAAAAAATTTTTTTGCATTAAAAAATATATTTATTGGGCCCCACAGGGCCCCTTGGCTTGATCGGAAGCTCGGGAATCTCTCTCCATGCCAGCCTCCTTCAGGAGAGCGGAGGGTTGGAGGATATCTCTGAGTCCAGATCGCCACGGACTCCCTGCCACAGGCTGTGGCTGACTCGGCTGCGGAACTCCGAGGCTGCGGTGGAGAACGGGGGAGAGGCTGACCTAGCGGCTGCGGAGGCTTCTTTTGCCTCAAGGACACCTTCTCTTCTCTTGCCCGTGCCAGCCTGGACTTCCACTCCGAGGAAACACTAAATATTGGAGGACCAGAAAGAGGGCGTACGGAAGTCGCGACGCACCCGTCAGCACCTACAAGCCTGGAAACTGTTGGGTCCCCAGCAGCTTTATCAGGTAAATTAGGAAGGCTACCTCACTAACAGGTACAGAAATCTCAAGGTATTTTCGGGAACTTGAAAAGGGAGGAATTCACCTAGATCTGATCAGATGCCCCACGACCTACAACCAGGGCATTACATACATACTGGAAAAGACATAATTTAAGGGACTATCTCCAAACTGGATGGAAGGACCCTTATCAGATTACAATAGGTTTACATCAAGATGATGATGATGCAAAGATTCCAGCCATTTCTCAGAACAGATCCTGCCAAAACAACAGCAGATGTCACCCTGGGGCCCTTAATTAGACAGGGTGAGCGCTCCGTGACCCCAGCTAAGCAGGGTCTACGAGCCCCTTGCCAGCCTGAAGAAGCTACAGAAGACAGGCCGTCATCCCTCATCCTCCCAATAAAGACTTCTTGGGGTTCATGTCTCTCGGCGGGGGGGAGGGGGATTGTGAATAGGAGATAGATGGGCCCCTGGGCCGGACAGCTGGCGTTTGTCAAGTGGAGCAAGACTGAAGTTTTGTCCTCGGCCAGACAAGAACGACGCCCGTTTCCCTTCCTCCATTGATACGGAGAGAATGAACTAGCAGTGGGGAATTAGCAAAAATAGAAATGAAGTTTTCCCTCTCCTGAGAACAAGGAAAAGAAAGGGAACAGCGAACAGGCTAGAGAGGAAACATAACCTGGCCTGAAAGAGTCCATCACTCCTTGTTTTTGTTTAACTGTTACTAATCTGTAGCGTCTGTAACTAGAGTTGTACTTCACAAAGCTAACCTATTCCTCTAAAACACCATGTGAATTACATCCTGCGCTCCCTTGTAGCAGATCACCCCTTGTAGCATTTGCATTTCAGAAAAAAAGTCGCAGGCCAATAACCCAGAGACAAAAAGACCCAATTATGGGGGCTGCCTGATGCCAGCTGCGACTGTTTTGCGAAGGAAGGGGGACACTGTTCTTGAGGCGCTAGCCTGCTGTGTCTTCCCTTCTGCCTGGCAGAAAAATAAAGCCTTCCTAGGGAAAAAAAAAAAAGAAAGAAAAAAAATATTTATTTATTTATTGCCCATTTTTGTTTCCTTTTCTGTCATGTTTAAAAAAATTTGGGGGGGGGCTTCCCTGGTGGCGCAGTGGTTGAGAGTCCGCCTGCACATGCAGGGGACACGGGTTCGTGCCCCGGTCCGGGAAGATCCCACATGCCGCGGAGCGGCTGGGCCCGTGAGCCATGGCCGCTGAGCCTGCGCGTCCGGAGCCTGTGCTCCGCAACGGGAGAGGCCACGGCAGTGAGAGGCCCGCGTACCGCAAAAAAAAGAAAAAAATTGCCTAACTATTTATTTATTTATATATCTATCTCCTCTGGGCTCCGCGCGCCCTGCTTTAACCCCTGAGGTCTCACAGTTCGAGCTTTCCTAGCCTCCCCAAGACGGCTCCTGGCTGAGTTTGGCAGTTTCAATTTATACGTAGATAGTTCTTGAAGAAACACTAAACGCACATTCAATCAGCAAACATCTACGGAGCTTCTACCATAGGTCCTGAGCACTGAGGTTATCTTTTCCTGGGGTTTGTTTTCCAGAGGCTGAGAGCGTTGTGAACAAGCCCAGAAGGGTCCCAGCCCACGGACGGGTCACTAAGTCCGAGGGGAGGGGCGGGCAGTGGGACGCAGCAGGGTGGCAGAGTCTGGTGCCTGGTTTCCTCCACGGGTTCTAACTCTGCACTTTGCTCCCAAAGATCACGACCGTGAACCCCTTCCTGCTTTCCCTCAGGTGTGTCAGATCCTGGGCCCGCCTGTCCCGCCATGGCCACGTGCCCGGCTGGAGGAGGGCATCAGCCCGACCTTACCCAGGGCTGCCCAGGCTCCCAGCCAGGACCAGACAGCAGCTCGGGCTGGATTGTGGGTGGGGACTGGAGAGGAAGGGAAGGAGAGGGGCAGGAGGGCTGGTTCCACGGGGGCGGGATGCCCACCACATTCCAGACCAGAGGCTGATGATCCCAAGTGGCGAGAGCCGGCCCTTGTGCCAGACCCCCTCCACATCCAGTCCACTTCTCCCTCCCCAGCACCTTCTTAGCCCCAGTTCTCAGCGTAGCCACGGAGGCCAGGGAGGTCCAGAGACTGGGCCATCACACGGTGCACAAGGGCAAGCGGGGCTCGTGCCCAGGGGATGCTCTGCACACTCACACACGCCCACGGGTGCACTCACACATGTGCATAGCACACACGCCTGCAAGGCAGCCTGGATCCCAGGCGTACGGACCTGGGTCTAAGCTTCCTGAGGCCGGCACTGTTGCCCAGCCCTGTGGTCAGCCTGGACGGCCAGGGGCGGCTCCTCCCAAGCTGGCTGCCAGGGCCCTCCATGCGCCCCCCTCCTGCCAAGCTCACCGGTTAATCTCTGACTTGCAGACGAGCTCGAAGTTGTATTCCTTGGCCTTGGTGGGCTGAAAGATTACGTCGAGTTGCAGAGTTTCCAGCGGCAGGATTGTCCCGAACCCATCATTGGGCTGGATGTCCACAAACTGGCAAACGGAAGACCATGGATGCCAAAGTGAAAACTCAGTGACCTGCTGGGGAGGGCTGCAGGGAGCCGGCACGGACATGCGTGTGGCCGGGGTGCGGCAGTGTGTGAGCGAGTGTGGACGTGTGTGTGGCTACATGCATGTAAGATGCATGTAAGTGTGCTACATGGGTGTGAGCCCCTGTGTATGTGATCATGTGTGCAGATGAGTGTGTGTGAGAGGGTGGTGTGCGTGCATGTCTGTGTGTGTCTGCCTGCATGTGAGCACTTGTGTGTACGTGCGAGTGTGCGTCTGCATGCACGTGAGCACGTGTGGATATGAGTGTGTGTATGTGTCTGCAGGCACGTGTACACATGTGTGTGTGTGTGTCTGTGTGTGTGACTGTGTCCGCATATATGTGAGCGGGCAGCGGGGGCCCTGGAGGAGTGAGGACAGCCAGGCCTGGGCCTCGTCTTGGCCGCCCTGCAGGGCCAGGCCGTCAAGAGTCCTGGAAAGAAGGGCGGGGAGAGGACTCTGGATCCTGAGGGTGCAGCGGGCGGACAGAGGGCAAGAGAGGCAGCGTGAGGTGGGGATGGGGCCGCGGGCATGAGGAGAGGGACTGCCAGAGAGACGCCCCGGCCGAGGTGCCTGGAGGTGAGTGTGGAGTCCGGGAGTGGCTCAGGCGCCTGGACCCTGGGCAGCAGCCCATGCCCCAAACCTCCCGCTCTGACCACACGAGGCACCTTGGGGAGCCTGACGAACCCAAACTCCTGGGGCAGGAGGGAGTGGTTGCAGAGGCTGACTTGGGTCCTGATGGCCTCGTAGATGGTGCAGTAGCCGAAGTCCACCCCCGAGGGGCTGAGCTCCAGGTCCGAGGTGGTGACTATGGCGTGGACAGTAAACCCCACGGGTTTGATCTGAAGTGTGGAGGGCAAGCGCATCCGGTCACCGAGGTCAGTTTACGCAAGTGTTTCCAAAAATGAGAACAGCACCATCCCGGCTGTGAGCTGATGGCCGACGGTGCACCTTTCAGGGACACAACCCCTTCCCTGTTGGCCCCTGGCTTGGGACGGGCAGCACGGGCGGGCAGGTGCAGGAGTGCACATGTGCACACACGTGTGCACCTGTGCGTCTACGTGTGCGGTGCATTGTGTGCTCACATGTGGTGTGTGTACGGAGGATGTGCACACTCCTGGGCACCTGGATCTCCGTGTGGGGTGGACTGTACACATGTGTGTGTTTGGGTGCCCTGGGGACAGCCCTGCCGGCCCTGGACAGCACTCGGGGCCTCTCTCCGATCCACAAAGATCCTCCCTCCGTCTCCCCTGTGCCCTCTGCTCCCCAAGGGCGCCTGCGCTCCCAGAAGTGCCCCACACAGACCTGGTCAGCCACCCGGATAGTCATCGGGGCCTCCAGGACTCTGCTTTCCTTGTCAAAATACTTCCCGGCATCTTCCGGGAGGGAGCGTCTGAAAGAGACAGGAGGCACTCGAATGTTCTTTTCTTCTTTATATTTGCGAAACGACAAAATGCTGAACTATGAGTGTGTTTTGAATTCAGACGAGAGCTAGAATTTACATAAAAGGTAAGAAACACAGGAGCCACGACGTGGGCGTCGAGCCAGCTTCCGGCTGTCACCTAGAGTCCCCCCCACCGGGCGGAGGGACCCCGCCGCGCCACGCACCTGGGCAGGAACTTGAGCCGCACCGAGTAGGACGACAGGGCCTGGATGCAGGCGGTCTTGGGCAGGAGCTCCAGGTGGCCCTGCAGCCCCTTGCACACCTCGAAGTGCAGGCGCAGGGCGGTCTTCCACCTGCAGCGCCCGAGGGCCGGGCGGGCGATGCTGCGTTTGGTCCCTGCGGGTCGGCCTGTACCCACCCCCCAGGGCCCAGGGCACACCCTCCCAGATGCCCCCCACCCGCTACTGTCGGGGAGTCTTCAGAGCCCTGCTCGCCAAGGGCAGGTTTTCCTGAAGTGACATCTGCTGAGGAATCCTTACAAATAAAAACATCGCAACTGAAAGGCGCCCAGTCGGTTCTCAGAAACCTAGTGTTTTCTGGGAAGACCCTCACGGGGCAGGTGCTGAGTGCAGGGACCTGGGGCGTGGGCGCCGGCCCTCCCAGAGTCTTGCCCTCCCTGCCCAGGCGTGGGCACGTGCCAGCACGAGCCCTGCAGGACGCTCGGGAGGTCCCCAGACGGCCAGGCCTTGGCCAGTGACCGCAGTTTCCCCAAGTTTTGTCCCTGTTTTCAACTCAGGGCCAGCCAGAGAAGCCAGATGTGCCCCCAACCAGCCACGTGGGGCGCCCCATCCTAGCCACCTCAGGCCACAGCCCCCATCGGTGCGCTGCCCCTCCCCTCCTGTCCAGTCTCCAGGAAGAAAGGTGATGGTCAAGCTGCCCCAGGCCTTCCTGGGCTGCCCGGGAACCCTGGGCCGTGGTCCAGAGCCTCCCAGGCCTTCCAGCCCCTCCTTAACTGCCTGGGGTGATTGTTGCCTGCCTCGTGGCTGCTGGGGCCTCACCCTGAGGGCTAAGCCCCTCTGCAAGGAGAGCCCACAGCCAGACAGGGACCACGGGGAGATCCACGGGCTCCTGGGTGCTCCTGGCCGAGGAGGAGTAAAAGGGGGCCCCTTTGACCTCTGACCCCCAGTGTCACCAAGCCCCTCCCCTCAGTGACCTCTGGCCCCAGTGTCACTCAGCACTGGGTGTCCCCTGCCACGGAATGTGCCCAGACTGGCCCTCCCGCCCTCAGCAGGCAGCAGCCCCGCCCAGGTTCCCGTGCTGGCTGGGCTCCTTGAGCAGCTGTTCATGTGACCAGGGTCATTGCGAACGAGCGCCTTTGCTACACCTGTGTCCGTAAACCCGGTAAATTAAACAAGTGAGTAATGCTGAATTCTAAAATCACTCGACAGGGACTTCCCTGGTGGTCCAGTGGTTAAGACTTTGCCTTCCAGCGCAAGGGGTGAGGGTTTGATCCCTGGTCGGGGAGCTAGGATCCCACGTGCCTCGCGGCCAAAAAACCAAAACATTAAACAGAAGCAATATTGTAACAAATTCAATAAAGACTTAAAAATGGTCCACGTCAAAAAAAATCTTAAAAAAATATAATAAAATCACTCAACAAATGTACGCCGTCGAGCCTGTGCCTTGGGGAGGGGCTGAGAAAGCACAACTCCCCCCCGCGCCGGCTCCCCGTCACCACCCTGCCCGGGAGTGGACACGCTCTGTGTCCCGAGGTAAACTGGCCAGAGCCCTGCAAAACCTAGTTTCCTGAACAAATCCACCTGAGTCCTGTCCCGAGTTCCCAGCTCCCCGGTGAGAACAGGCCCCCTGACGTTTGCAGTGCTGAGGCCCAGGGACCCAGCGGCTGGCACACGTGCCAGTCCGTTTCCACCCAGGCTGCCCATCGCCCCCCCCACCCCCGCCCCCAGGCTGGAAGCGGGGCCCCGTGTGTCAGCAGCCTGCCAGGTACGCAGGTGTGTTTGGTTAATGAAAACCCATTAAGCTCTAACTGTAGAATTTGCCTGCTTTTCTCCATGTAATTGAATTTCACTAAAAATTAAAAAGAGCGTAAAAAAGAAATGACAACTGTGGTGTCCGGACGCCCTTGCAAAACACTGCGAATGAAACATGCTTCTTGTCTCGGGGCTCCGTCCATGGTCCTTCAGAGGACACGCCTCCTTCCCTGTCTGTGTCCGAGAGGGGCCTGGCCCGGCCATGTTGGGGGTGAGCTCCCCAGAGACGCAGGGGTGACAACACTGAGTTACTCTCACGGTTCTGGAGGTCAGGACCGGACACAGTCTCCCGGGGCGGAAGCCCAGCTGCGGGCAGGGCTGGTCCCCTGGGAGGCTCCGTGGGGAATCGTTTCCTGGCTTTTCCAGCTTCTGGTGGCACCGTGTCCCTTGGCTCGTGGCCCCTGTCCCATCTTCAAGGCCAGCAGCCTAGCATCTGCCAACCTCTGTCTGACTCTGGCCCTCCAGCCTCCCTCCTATGACAGCCCTGGGATTCCAGTGGGCCCTTGGGGTAACCCCAGGTGACCCCCCACCCCGAGGTCCGTGACCTCACCCCCGCCGAGGGCTCACCGTGTGTGGACGAGGATGGAGTCCTGATACAGCCGGTCGTACATGCAGATCTTCAGGTCTACGTTGGGCTTTGGCACCCAGACTGGCACGTCGATAGCAACACCGACGACTTTGAAATATAACTGAATTTGAACATGAAAATCCGACAACACGTATTTCCATCAGCAGAGCAGGCGGTGACCGTGAGTACTAACGCAGAGCTCAGCGGCAGCGTTTTGTGACTCTTACAAGAACTGGAAGGTTAATAATCAAACTGGCCATGTTTTGGGGATCATGGCACTTTTTATATCATATAATTTAAACAATCCTTTTTATTTTCAAATTTTTTAAACATAAAAAGATAGAATGGTACGATGGATTGTCACGTACCCACCACGCAGCTTCATAAATATCAACATTTTTAGCTGTTTAAAAAAACCCGGGCTTCCCTGGTGGTGCAGTGGTTAAGAATCCGCCTGCCAATGCCGGGGACATGGGTTCGAGCCCTGGTCCGGGAAGATCCCACATGCCACGGAGCAACTAAGCCCGTGCGCCCCAACTACTGAGCCTGTGCTCTAGGGTCCGCGAGCCACAACTACTGAAACCCTCACGCCTAGAGCCCACGCACTGCAACGAAGAGTAGCCCCCGCTCGCCCCAACTAGAGGAAGCCGCGTGCAGCAACGAAGACCCAAAAATACGGCCAAAAATAAAAAAACAAATAAATTTATCGAAAAAACCAACAGCCGTTTTACTGCAGACTCATGCGTCACACAGGCAGTACGCGTGTACAGCTGATACAAACGGAAGCTCAGGGCTCGCGAAGGGCCCAGTAGGCACGTGCTTCTCCCCACCTCGGACCCTGGCGTCGGCTTCCTGCAGTCAGACCACGATGTCCTGCAGAGAGAGCCTGTGCACAGCAGGCCCCCTCAGGCAGGAACAGTGACCACCAGCCCACACAACTGGGTGGAGGGCTTCCCTTTCTACCACCTGCGGGACTGTGACCTTAGAACACCAGCGCCGGATCCGAGGCCACAGGGTCACTGAAACATACAACCCATCTCCAGGGCCAGAGACAAGAGGACAGAATAAAAGGAAAGCGCGGCCAGAGAGACGGGGCAGCCGGGAGAGGCCAGAGAGACGGAGCAGCCGGGAGAGGCCAGAGAAACGGAGCAGCCGGGAGAGGCCAGAGAGACGGAGCAGCCGGGAGAGTCCAGAGAGACGGAGCAGCCGGGAGAGTCAGGAGGGGGTCTGAGGAGAAGCACGGCCACCCCACTCAAAGGCAGTGGTGACAGCAGGTGAACGGTGGTCCACCGAGGGGGGCGGGGGGGCTGCTGCCGAGAGGCGCTGAGGCCCGGAGCAGCGTCCTGACCTCACGGCCAGGCAGGTCACAAAGACACTGGTCCCGCCGGCACCTGAATCAGGGCCAGGCGAGCAGGAGGACATGTGCGGTGACACGTGACACACAAGGCCGGGGGACAGGCGTCCGTGAAGCAGACGGGGTGGTCGGCACAGGAAGGCCCCGTCTACGGAGGAGCCAGCCAGGGAGGGTAAGAAAGGCACAGACACGGAAACGAAAGGCCAGCCTGCGCTGGGACCATCCTCACGCGGAGACAGTGGGCAGCGTCCTCACACCCCTGGAAGGGAGGGGTCCACAGGCCGGCAGAACCCAGCACATGTCACGAGGGACCCACCTCAGGAAAGCAGGCAGGCAGGATGGGAATCCAGACCCCGTTCACCCCTGGAGGCCGGGAGCCACCCCAGGGGCTGCGTGTGTACCACACCCGGGTGAGGAGGTGGGGTAGGAGAGTGGTCAGGGCGTTCACTGCCCCGGCTCGCCTGGCAGGGCCCCCGTGGGCTGGAGCGTCCTTGACCCGAGGTCACAGCCCCAGCCAGGCCATCCTCTCCAAGTGCTCAGTTACCCAGGTCTGGTCCCTGTTCCTTCCTGACACCACAGCAGGGGCTCTGTGGGGACCTATGGGGCTACCGCGGGGAACTGTGGGACTCCATGGTTACTGTGGACATGTGGGAACAGTGTGAGTATTATGGTATACTGTGGGGTATTGTAGGGTATGGCCTATTCCTTGGGGTTTCCGTTACAAGTAAATAAATATTGTGTCTCAAATCCCTGGCCCCTGACAGACTCGTTCCTATATGGAAAACACACCAGAGCAGAGACTCCTGATGGCGACAGGAGAGGAGAGTGTGGTGAGCACAGAACACCTGGACATGGCCACCTGCCTGGAATCGTGGGCCACGGAGTTGGGTCAGAACTCCTGAGGCAGTGGGGGCAGAGTCGGAGGAGATGCTAATAATTCTAATGACAGTTAAGTGAAACCGAGACATCGAGGGCCAAGAAAGAGGATAAATAAAAGGGACCCAAAATCGTGTCTTATTTTGGTCATGAGGAAGTGGTGGTGGAGTGAACTGCTGGGGTACTATCCGTCTTGGAGGATGGTCCTCTTGCACTTAAAAAATAGAAAGTCAGGGCTTCCCTGGTGGCACAGGGGTTAAGAATTTGCCTGCCTGCAGGGGACATGGGTTTGAGTCCTGGTCTGGGAAGATCCCACATGCCATGGATCAACTAAGCCCGTGTGCCACAACTACTGAGCCTGCACTCTAGAGCCCGTGAGCCACAGTTACTGAGCCTGTGTGCCACAACTGCTGAAGCCTGCATGCCTAGAGCCTGTGCTCCGCAACAAGAGAAGTCACTGCAATGAGAAGGCCACGCACCGCAACGAAGAGTAGCCTCCACTCGCCACAACTAGAGAAAGCCCACAAAAGACCCAATGCAGCCAAAAAAAAAAAAAAAATTATAAAAAAGAAATAGAAAGTCATGTGGGATTTAAGGGCTGGGAAAGGGGAGGGGACCGTTCATTGAATGAAAGTAGAATTTCCAAATAACAGGGAAAAAAGGAATAAGTAGCAAGTTGATCAAACCAATGAAAACAAGAAAACTGAAAGTGAGGAAACAGTATGATAAAATGAATAGTAGACAAATCTAATGGAAGTAGTAAAACAAAGTGTGTCAATATTATGCTGCAAATGCACTGGATTCTCCCCCTAAAGGCAGACAACATTAGTCTGGGTCCACAGACAAAACCTGGCTCCTTAAAAGACACACGAAGTCATTAAAAAAGGATAAATATCGGCCGGGGTTGGGGGGAGGACAAAGGGATATGAGGAGAAGGTGAAGCAGAGGAAAGCAGGAGTGGCCCTGTCGTTATTGTGGGATCAGCTGGATATAGAGGTGCCATGAGCAGCAGGATGAAGGGGGATGTTTGGTTCTGGTGAAAGGCACAATTCACGATAAGAAAACGACTATAAACCCTCATGCGTGAAACAACAAAGCAGCTGAACAGAGCCCTCTGTTAGAAGTGTAAGGAGACCTCTCCCACTGCTGGTGGGAATGGGAACTGGTACAGCCACTATGGAGAACAGTATGGAGGTTCCTTAAAAAAATAGAACTAGAACTGCCATACGACCCAGCAATCCCACTACTGGGCATATACCCTGAGAAAACCATAATTCAAAAAGAGTCATGTACCAAAATGTTCATTGCAGCTCTACTAACAATAGCTAGGAAATGGAAACAACCTAAGAGTCCATTGTCGGATGTATGCATAAAGATGATGCGGCACATGTATACGATGGAATATTACTCAGCCATAAAAGGAAACAAAATGAGTTATTTGTAGTGAGGTGGATGGACCTAGAGACTGTCATACAGAGTGAATTAAGTCAGAAAGAGAAAAACAAATATCGTATGCTAACACATATTTATGGAATCTAAAAAAAAAAAAGGAAAGAAATGGATCTGAAGAACCTAGGGGCAGGACAGGAATAAAGACGCAGGCTTAGAGAATGGACTTGAGGACACGGGGAGGGGGAAGGGTAAGCTAGGACGAAGTGAGAGAGTTGCATGGACATATATACACTACCAAATGTAAAATAGATAGCTAGTGGGAAGCAGCTGCATAGCACAGGGAGATCAGCTCGGTGCTTTGTGACTACCTAGAGGGGTGGGATAGGGAGGGTGGGAGGGAGACACAAGAGGGAGGAGATATGGGGATATATGTGTATGTATAGCTGATTCACTTTGTTATGAAGCAGAAACTAACACACCACTGTAAAGCAGTTATACTCCAATAAAGATGTTTAAAAAAAAAAAAGTGTAAGGAGAACTTGTCAAAGATCGGGTCATAAGGGAAGATAGATGTGTGGAAGGAAAATGGAGGGAAGCCAAAGCATCTTGACAAAGAAGAACAAAGCTGGGGGAATCATCCTCCCTGAACTCCAGACTATACTGCAAAGCTACAAGCATCAAAACTGCATGGTACTGGCACAAAAACAGACACATAGATCAATGAAACAGGAAAGAGAGCCCAGAGATAAACCCATGCACTTATGGTCACCTAATCTATGACAAAGGATGAAAGAACATACAATGGAGAAAAGACAATCTCTTCAACAAGTGGTGCTGGGAAAACTGGACAGTTACATGTAAAAGAATGAAATTAGAACATTCTCTAACACCATACACAAAAATACACTCAAAATGTACTGAAGACCTAAATGTAAGACCAGAAGCTATAAAGCTCTTAGAAGAAAGTGTAGGCAGGACACTCTGTGACATAAATTGTAGCAGTATTTTTTTGGATCTGTCTCCCAAGGCAAAGGAAACAAAAGCAAAAATAAACAAATGGGACCTAATTAAACATAAAAGCTTTTGTGCAGCGAAAGAAACCACTGACAAAATTGAAAAGACAACCTACTGAATGGAAGAAAATATTTGCAAATGATATGAATGATAAGGGATTAATATCCAAAATATATATAACAGCTCATACAACCCAATATCAAAAAACAAACGACCTAATTAAAAAATGAGCAGAAGGGAATTCCCTGGTGCTCCAGTGGTTAGGAATCCACGCTTCCACTGCAGGGAGCCCGGGTTTGATCCCTGGTCAGGGAACTAAGATCCCGCATGCTGTGTGGCATGGCCAAAAAAATAAAAAATAAACAAGTTTAAAAAAATGAGTAGAAGACCTGAATAGACATGTTTCCAAAGAGGACATGCACATGGTCAACAGGCACATGAAAAGATCCTCAGCATTGACAACCATCAGGGAAATCCAAATCAAAGCCACAGTGAGATATCACCTCACACCTGTCAGAATGGCTTTCATCAAAAAGTCTACAAATAACAAGCGTTGGAGAGGATGTGGAGAAAAGGGAGCCCTCAGGCACTGCTGGTGGGAATATAAACTGGTGCAACCACTGTGTAAAACAGTATGGAAATTCCTCAAAAAGCTAGAAATATAACTACCATATGACCCAGCAATTCCACTCTTGGGTATACATCTGCAAGAAACAAAAACACTAATTTGAAAAGATATATGCACCCCAATGTTCATGGCAGCATTATTTACAATAGCTAAGATATGGAAGCAACCTAGGTGTCCATCAACAGAGGAATGGATGAAGAAGACATGGTGCATATATACAACAGAATACTACTCAGCCATGAAAAGAATGAAACCCTGACGTTTGCAGCCACATGGATGGACCTAGAGGGTATCATGCTTAGTGAAGTAAGTCAGACAGAGAAAGACAAACACTGTATGTTATCACTTATATGTGGAATCTAGAAAATAAAACAACTGAATGAATATAACAAAACAGAAACAGACACACAGATATAAAGGACAAACTAGTGGGTGCCAGTGGGGAGAAGGGTCGGGGGAGGGGCAAGATAGGGGTACAGGATTAAGGGACACAAACTACTACGTATAAAATAGATAAGCTACAGGGACTTCCCTGGTGGTCCAGTGGCTAAGACTCTGCCCTCCCAATGCAGGGGGCCCAGATTCGATCCCTGGTCTGAGAACTAGATCCCGCATGCCGCAACTAAAAGATCCCGCACGGCACAACTAAGACCCGGCGCAGCCAAATAAATAAATTAATAAATATTTTAACACACAGATAAGCTGCAAGGATATACGGGACAGCACGGGGACTGTAACGGAACTGCATAACTTTTCTTTTTTTTTCGCTGCACTGCACGGCTTGGGGGATCTTAGTTCCCCGACCAGGGATTGAACCCGGGCCCACAGCAGTGAAAGTGCTGAGTCGTACCCTGGACCACCGGGAAATTCCCTATAATGGCTTTAAATGGAATATACTCTATAGAATTTTTGAATCACTATGCTGTACACCTGTAACTAAAAAAAATACCTCCACAAACTCAGAATCCTAGTAAGAAACAAAATACAATAGAAAAATTGGCAAATGACTTGAAAAAAAAAACCCACGGAGGGGTATGAATAATGTGACTAATCCAGCTAATAAATCTGTTTACAGACACTAAATACACTTTCTTCATATGCACATTTCATACTTATAAAATCAATCTTGCCCTTGGTCACAAAGAAAACTAACAAATTAAAAAAAAGACTTTGCAGATTATATTGTCTGAGCATAATTCAACTTAATAAACTTACAAATAAATAAATCTAAAAAGTAATGATGACAAATTTTAATTACTGGGAAATTAAGAAAGACACCCCTAGTGATTAAGTGCAAGGTGTGTGTGTGTGTGTGTGTGTGTGTGCATGTGTGTTCACAGGTGTGCACGTGTTGGCTATGTTTTTAGCCATGTGTCACTGACTAGCCATGCAAGCGTGGGCAGTGCGGGCAGCAGCCTCACGTGGTCGTGGTGGAGGGAACGCAGAAGGCGGGGACCCCGTGCCCAGGGAGCAGCAGGATACTCACAGTCGGGCACTGCTGATTCTTAAACATGACCTTGAACCTGGTGGAGACCGTTCCCGGGACAATCGGGGTGAAGATGACGGGCACTTTGATGGTGCTGAAGGGGCCAATCTCCCCCTCTGTTATCTGCACGGCAAGAGAGGTAGGCAGGGCTGCTCAGCCTTCACGTTCCCGTCATGGTGTCTCCCGTGGCCTCACCACAGCCGGGTCACTGCGGGGGCGAGGGGTGGCAGCCCCCATGTGTGCACTCGCTCTCCTGATGACACGGTCCTTGCACACACATGCACAGCCCCCACGCTCTGGCTGGGAAGGCCCTGCATTGGTGTCTCCTCTGAGCTTGACTAGGGGTACCCAGGGCCCTGCCTCTGCGGCTCTGGACCCGCCCGGCCCCAGCCTGAGACGGGGCAGCCGGACACCGGCTGAGACAGCTAACTGCCCAGAGGAGGCGAGTCCAGCGGCCAGACTAGTCTAGTCCGGCTCTGGTCAGATGGACAGACCACCCTGGGGGCCGGAAGAAGGTGGGCCTGACCTCTCCCAGTGAGAACTCCGTCTGTTCCTCGTTGGGAGGTACAGTCACGATGGTGGTCGAGGTCACTCCCTCTGATTCTGGAAGAGAAGGGTCCAGGTGTGAGGCTGGCCAGGCATGGCTGGGCAGCTCTGCCACGCCCGAGGCGTGGCCACCCCCAACCTGGCCTCCCGGGGCCGTGAGGCCCGAGGGGGAGCTGGGGCGCTAGGGCACCATCCGGCCCCCTCCCTCTCCCAGACCAGGTGCTGTTCTGGGGCTCGTGGGGGCCACCCCAGCCCTCCTGCGCAGACAGCTCCTCCTGACAATACCATCTCCAGCAACCCCACCCTTTCCCAGGGCTAGGGGCCACAGGAGGCTATCACTGTGGCCCCAGGTTTGCATGGATGTGCCCCCGCAGACCCCCTCCCCCCGTGGCCATCTCCTGGTCAGGGACCTCGGGAACTCGGGGACCCCCAGCTCAAGCCCCAGGCCTGGGGCTTCTCAGGTGGACTTGGACAGTGGGCACTGCGACCTCTGGAGCAGGAGGCTGGGGCGGGAGAGGGTCCCTAGTTGCCCAAACCCCAGCGCAGGGAAGGGGGTGGGTGAAGGATGCTGGCCCCAGGGCGGCCCGGTGGGTGCAGTGGCCTGAGAGCAGCGCACTGGAGAGGGGACGGCCGAGAAGTGGACCATCTGGGGCTTCACTTCAAAGCAGGAGGAGTGGAAAGTGGGCTCAAGGGGGTTTGTATGAAGAGGAGGAAACAGCAGGGTGCTGTGTCAGGGCTGGGCCAGGGTGGGGCGTGGGGAGGGGGTCAGCCATTTCCCAGGGACCCACCGGAGCCCGAGGGGCTGCTGGGCCCTGGAAATGTAACACAATGTCCACTTTCAGGTGATAATAACATGTTCGCAGCCTCATTTTCACACTCATTTAGCCTTGTCTGTGTGCACGTTGCCTGCATGTTTTGAACATCTCTTCCCCACTGGTGGGCCATGGATCCCGGCCCGCCCCTCGGGATTTGGGGGGGCACCCCAAGAATGGCAGGCCATCCATCAGGAAGGGTAGACCCTGTTTCCTCTCATCTGAGAAGGTCTTCCCGTTGACTTTGCAAGTGAACAGACCCAGTTTGATAGGAGAGGTGAAGGTCAGCGTCCTTTCTGAGTCCTTCCCCAGCTGGGCTGCCAGGCTGGCCCTGTGGAGACCCCAGGTGCACTGCTGCGGCCTGCCCCAGGCTACCACAGGGCGGTATGCACCCTTTCTGGGGCCTGGGGTTGTAAAGGCGGAGGCCCCCAGTTCTGGCTCCTCCAATGTGGCAGACTTCTCACGCAGCCAGCAGCTGTGACTGTCACCAGGTTGGGTGGGGGCGAGTGGGCCAGTTGGCTCCCACCACCCCACTGTTTACGTCCTTGTCTGCTTCAGGAGTTACCTCGGTGAGAGCCCAGACGTGGGCCCACGGGGTCCTTCCCTACGCCCTGAGTCCAGGCCAGACCCTGGGGTCAGCGGCTTCGTCTTGCATGGATGCTGGCTGGGGTCCCTTGGTGAGCCAGGGTGGAATCGTGTTGGTCAGTTTGCTGGGAATACGGTGCGCTAATTCTAGAATCAGGCTTGTTAACGGTTAGGAAGACTTTCATTAATTGTGTGTGCAGTGTATCCGCTCCCCGCGTCCATTCTGTTCTGTCAGTCACAGAGTGGATATGTACTCACTTCCTGGAGTTAGAGGCATTTCGACATTTTAGAACATTCTCAGCAAGTAGCTCTTTAAATACGGTCTTTTCCTGATTCCAACGGACAAGTCGCTCCTTACTCATCCTCAACAGTACACGTGTTGTACTGCTTCTTTCATGTTTCCATCTCTATCTTTTAGTTCCCTAATTGTCTCTTCAGCAGTGTCTAATCCACAGTTTAACCCAGTGATTCGGGTTTTGTTTGTTTTCAGTGATCATATTCTTACTGCTAGAAGTTTTATTTGGTTCATTTTCTTTATTTTTGTAAAAAAATAAACTTATTTATTTTTGGTTGTGTTGGGTCTTCGTCGCTGCGCGCGGGCTTTCTTTAGTTGTGGCGAGCGGGGCTACTCTTTGCTGTGGTGCGCGGGCATCTCATTGCGGTGGCTTCTCTTGTTGCAGAGCACAGGCTCTAGAGCACAGGCTCACTAGTTGTGGCGCACAGGCTTCGTTGCTCCGCGGCATGTGGGATCTTCCCGGACCAGGTCTCGAACCCATGTCCCCTGCATTGGCAGGCAGATTCTTAACCACTGCGCCACCAGGGAAGTCCCTCATTTCAATTCTACTTGATCTTATTCCTTTGTGATATTTTTCAAAGTATTAAGTGTGCTTATTTTATTTTCAATGTCTGATCATATCATATCTGAAGCATGCAAGATCGTGATGCTCTCTGTCGTTTGTGTTGAGGAATTTCTCTCCCATTTCTTTTTTTTAGTGTAAACTTCTGAAAGCTTTGACAAATGCATACAGGGTGTATCCCCCACCACAATCAAGATACAGAACGTTTCCATCACCTCCCACCCCAGCTCTCCCTGTGCCCCTTAGTAGTCAATCCCTCCCTGGCTCCTGGCAACCACTGGTCTGTGTTCTGTCCCTACAGTTTTGCCTTTTCCAGAATGACACATAAATGGAATCACATGGTTTGCAGTTTTCTGCGCCTGACGTTTTTCATTAGTGTGATGTCGTGAGGTGCATCCGTGTTGTGTGTGGGTCCCCAGTTCATTCCTTTTCATTGCTGAGTAGCGCTGCAGAGCAGAGGGGTGCCAGGTTGTTTATCCACTCACCAGTCAGCAGCTGTCGGCAATCCCAAAGAACCCCTCTACATGAATTCACATGCAGGTTTCTGTTTGAATTTAGTTTTCACTTCTTTGGGTAAGTACCTAGGAGTGGGGTTTCTGGGTTGTACGGGGTTTGTTCGACTTTATAAGAAATTGCTGAACTGCTCTCCACAGTGGCTACACCACTGCGCACTCCCAGCAGCAACGGACGAGAGTCACGGCAGCCCCTCACCAGCACTTGCTTCTGTCAGGGGCTGGGGTTTAATCTCGCCCTTCTAACAGGCGTGTAGTGACGGCCCATCGTGGTTCTAATTTGTTTTTCCGTCTGTCTACTGTTGTCGCGTCTTTTCATGTGCTTACTTGCCATCTACACATCTTCTTTGGTCAAGTGTCTGTTCAAGTCATTTGCCCATTTGAAAACTGGGTTATTTGTTTTCTAATTGAGGTTTCAAAGTTCTTTATACATTTTGGATCTGTTCTTTTTTTTTTTTTTACATCTTTATTGGAGTATACTTGCTTTACAATGTGTGTTAGTTTCTGCTTCATAACAAAGTGAATCAGTTATACATATACATATGTTCCCATATCTCTTCCCTCTTGCGTCTCCCTTCCTCCCACCCTCCCTATCCCACCCCTCCAGGCGGGCACAAAGCACCGAGCTGATCTCCCTGTGCCATGCGACTGCTTCCCACTAGCTCTCTACCTTACGCTTGGTAGTGTATATATGTCCATGCCTCTCTCTCGCCCTGTCACAGCTTACCCTTCCCCCTCCCCATATCCTCAAGTCCATTCTCTAGTAGGTCTGTGTCTTTATTCCTGTCTTACCCCTAGGTTCTTCATGACATTTTTTTTCCTTAAATTCCATATATATGTGTCAGCATACGGTATTTGTCTTTCTCTTTCTGACTTACTTGGATCTGTTCTTTATCAGGTCCGTGATTTGCTAATATTTTCTGCCAGTCAGTGGCTTATCTTTTTCTTTTTTTGCGGTACGCGGGTCTCTCACTGCTGTGGCCTCTCCCGTTGCAGAGCACAGGCTCCGGACACGCAGGCCCAGCGGCCATGGCTCACGGTCCCAGCCGCTCCGCGGCCTGTGGGATCTTCCCAGAGCGGGGCATGAACCCGTGTCCCCTGCATCGGCAGGCGGACTCTCAACCACTGCGCCACCAGGGAAGCCCTCAGTGGCTTGTCTTTCATTCTCTTAACAGTCTGTTTAGAAGAGCAGATAGTTTTAGTTTTGATGAAGTCCAGAGGTTTTTTTCTGGATGTACAGTTTATAGTTTAAACCGTACAATTTAAAGAATGGCTCATGCTTTTGATGTCATACCTAAGAAATCTTTGCCCAAACCAAGGTTACACAGATTTTCTCCTGTGTTTCTTTTAGAAGTTTTATAATTTTAGGTTTTACATTTAGATCTATGATCTTGAGCAGTTTTTGTTTATAGCGAGAGGAATGGATGGAGGTTAATTTGGGAGCATATGTTTATCTAATTGTTAAGGTCTCATTTGAGGACAAGACTTTCTTTCTCCAAGAAATTACCTTTGCATATTTGTGTGGGTCTATTTTTGGACCCTTTATCCTGTCCCACTGAAACCCTGTGTCTCTCCCTCTGCCAATATCACGCTATGTGTTACTCCAGCTTTAGAGGAAGTCTTGAAATCAGGTAGTCTGAGTCTTCTAACTTTGTTCTTTTTCAAAATTGTTATTTTAGGTCCTTAAGGACCTTTTAGGTCCTTTCTATATAAATTTTATTTGTTTAAAAAATTTTATTTATTATTTATTTTGGCTGCACTGGGTCTTAGTTGCAGCACACAGGATCTTTAGTTGCGGCATGCATGCGGGATCTAGTTCCCCGACCAGGGATCGAACCCAGGCCCCCTGCATTGGGAGCTTGGAGTCTTACCCACTAGACCACCAGGGAAGTCCCTCCATATAAATTTTAGAATCAGCTTGTCAATTCCCATAAAAAGCCCTGCTAGATTTTGATTAGAACTGCATTCATCTATAGCCAGTTTTGGGACAACTGACCTCTTAACAATATTGAGTCTTTCCATCCACAAGCTCCATGGATCTCCCAATTTATTGAGGCCTTTGATTTCTTTCATCAGAGTTTTGTGGTTTTCAGCATATAGACCCTGAACATTTTTTCTTAGCTTTATAACTTACTAGTTCATGTTTTTGGTGCTATTATAAATGATATTTATAAACATTTAATTTCCAGTTGTTAATTTCTATCTAGAAATGTGCTTGATTTGGTATATTGTATCCTGTGGCCTTGCTCAACGCTCTCGTTCTGTAACTTTTGGGGGATTCTTTGAGATATTCTAGATAGACCGTCATGTTGTCTGTGAATAAAGCTGATTTTATTTTTTTCTTTTCCAACTTTATTTCTTTTATTTCCTTTTCTTGCCTTATTGCACTGAATAGCTATGAGTGAATGAACATCTTTGCTGTACTCCCAACCTTCAGGAGAAGCATCCAATCTTTCATCAGGTATGATGGTAACTGTTAGGTTTAGTTGTTTTTTTTTTTTTTTGAGGTACGCGGGCCTCTCACTGCTGTGGCCTCTCCCGTCGCAGAGCACAGGCTCCAGACGCGCAGGCTCAGCGGCCATGGCTCACGGGCCCAGCCGCTCCGCGGCACGTGGGATCCTCCCGGACCGGGGCATGAATCTGTGTTCCCTGCATCGGCAGGCGGACTGTCAACCACTGCGCCACCAGGGAAGCCCAGGTTTAGTTTTTGTCTCTTGTTTTTCAAAGATGCCCATCATCAGGTTGAGGAAATTTTCTTCTACTCCTAGTTCACTGAGATCTTCCATCACAAATGGATGTGGAATTTTGTCAAAAGCTTTTTCTCCATCTGTTAAGACAATCATAATGTTTTTTCTTCTTTCTTCTGTTGATATGGTGAATAATATTGGATGATTTTTTTTTTTTTTTTTTTTTGCGGAGCACAGGCTCCGGACGCGCAGGCTCAGCGGCCATGGCTCACGAGCCTAGCAGCTCCGCGGCATGTGGGATCTTCCCGGACCGGGGCATGAACCCGTGTCCCCTGCATCGGCAGGCGGCCTCGCAACCACTGCGCCACCAGGGAAGCCCAATATTGGATGGTTTTTGAATGCTGAACCAGCCTTGTGTTCGGAGGACAGACCCCGCTTGCTTATGATGTATTATCCTTTCTCACATCCTGCTGGATCCATCTGCTAGTATCGTAATGAAGAGGCAGAGGAGTTTTTGACTGTGAGCACGTGCTTCCTGGCACTTTACCTGTGGAGTTCCTTGAGTTCTGAGCTGAAGCTGCACTTCTCCAGAGAGGGTTGGCCTTTGTGTGGCTGGGCCCCGAAGCTCTTCCAACCTGGGACCACTTTCCCCTAAAGTCTCGGCTGGAGACAGCACGGGGTCACAGGTCCAGGCTGCAGACCCACACGGGACTGGCTGATGGTTTTCTTTTCTTTTTTTAAAAAAATAAATTTATTTATTTATTTATTTTTGGCTGCGCTGGGTCTTCGTTGCTGTGCGCAAGCTTTCTCTAGTTGCATCGAGTGGGGGCTACTCTTTGTTGCAGTGCGCGGGCTCCTCATTGCGGTGGCTTCTCTTGTTGCCGAGAACGGGATCTAGGCACGTGGGCGTCAGTAGTTGTGGCTCGCTGGCTCTAGAGCGCAGGCTCAGTACTTGTGGCCCACAGGCTTAGTTGCTCCGTGGCATGTGGGATCTTCCCGGACCAGGGCTCGAACCCGTGTCCCCTGCATTGGCAGGCGGATTCTTAACCGCTGTGCCACCAGGGACGTCCTGTCTGATGGATTTCAACCATCAAGGTGACCCCCTCGCCACCTTTAAAGGGCAAGGGGCCCATGCTGCTGCTTCCCTGCTGCTCTGCTCTGGGGCAGCTCATACTCGTGATGTACTTGTCCGCCACGTGTGCAGCCCTCTGAGGCAGACCCTTTGCTCTGAGCACTCCTGCCACGCCCCATGCTGCAGCCGTGGGGAAGGTTCTGGGCCAGCAGGTCTCAGGGGCCCACGCTGGGAGCTGCACAGCTGATGTGAGGACCCCCACGAACCTCCCGTGGGGGGTGGCCCAAACTCCACTCGGAAGTGGCCCCTCCTGACGTGTGGTGCTGGGGGTCAAGGCCAGCTGATCCCCTGAGCCAGCACAGGAGGCAGAGGAGGTGAGGAGGGAGCCCTACCCACTCACCCTCTGTCCCCCTGGGAACAGAACCATCTGTGTGCACCCCAGCGTCTCTCCTCTCTCCACGTTTTGTAATCTCTGTTCTGATCCGCTGATCCATGTGTCCTTATCTGGACCACACTGTCCTGATTACTGTAGATTTAAAGTAGGTCTTGAAGCCACGTGTGAGTTTAAAAAAAACGGTCTTTTGAAAGATGCTTTCCTGGAGTATTAGAAAAATACCGAGGCAGGGGTCCCATGCACCCCTGCATCCCATGTTCACACCAACGTTTATCAACAGCCCCCCAGGGGCTTCCCTGGTGGCGCAGTGGTTAAGAATCCGCCTGCCAATGCAGGGGGACATGGGTTCAAGCCCTGGCCTGGGAAGATCCCACATGCCGCGGAGCAACTAAGCCTGCAAGCCACGACTGCTGAGCCCGAGTGCCACAACTACTGGAGCCTGCGTGCCTAGAGCCCATGCTCTGCAACGAGAGAAGCCACTGCAATGAGAAGCCCGCGCACCGCAACGAAGAGCAGCCCCCGCTCGACGCAACTAGAGAAAGCCCGCACGCGGCAACGAAGACCCAACGCAGCCAAAAATAAATAAAAAATAAAATAAACAAATTTATACATAAAGAAAACATATGGAAATGCAAGTACCTAAAATATCCAAAGCAAATACCTTGCCAAAAAAAAGAGCAAAGTTGGGTGACTTAACGCCACGTGGCTTCAAGTCTAACCCTAAAGCTACAAGAATCCAGGCGGACGGTGCTGGTCAGGAGAGGCAAACGGGCCAAGCGGCCAGCACCCAGGGCCCAGAAGCACCCCACACCTTCCATCCACTTGCAGCAAAGATAACAGATCAATCCACCAGGGAAAGGAAAGGGTTCTCAACCTGTTTTGCAGGAACAATGGGACGCACACGTGGGAAAAAGAAGAGCCTTGGCATCTACCTCACATCACACACAGAAATTAGCTGGACCACAGACCCAAACGTAAGAGCCACGTCTTATGTCCTTGGGATGGGGAAAAGTTGCTATAAAGGCATAAAGCACACACCTCAAAAGAAATGATGGGTAGATTTGCAAACATTAAGATTAAGAACTTTGGGACTTCCAGGACTTCCCCGGTGGTCCAGTGGTTAAGACTCTTTGCTCCCAATGCACGGGGCCTGGGTTCAATCCCTGGTCAGGGAACTAGATCCCGCACGCATGCCTCAACTAAGAGTTAGCATGACGCGACTAAAGATCCCTCGTGCCGCAATGAAGATCCCGCGTGCCGCAACTAAGACCCGGCGCAGCCAAATAAATAAATAAATAGAACTTTGGGGCTTCCCTGGCAGCCCAGTGGTTAACACTCTGCACCTCCAATGCGAGGGGTGCGGGTTTGATCCCTGGTTGGGGAACTAAGATCCCACATGCCACGTGGCACGGCCAAAAAAATAAATAAATAAAAAATAAAATAAAATGAAGAACTCTGACTTAAGAAAAGAGATCATAAAGGGAGTAAAAGGACGAGCCACGACTTCGACTTGGAGGCAATATTTGCAACCTCCTAACTGACAAAGGCGAAGTATACAGGATCTGGAAAGAACTCCTATGAATAAATAAGAAAGGACAAACAACCCCGTAGAAAAGTGGGTGAAAAGCTTGAACAGGCATTTCATACAAAAGAAAGTACAAATGGTAAACAGGCACCTGGAAAGACAGGCAACCTCACTGGCGGCGTGAGCAGTACAGACGGGAGCCTCCCTTCCCAGGCCTCCAGACCGACCCGCGGAGCTGCCCAGTGGGACCCAGCCATGGGCCGCGGGTGGCTGTGAGCTCTTGAAATGTGGCTCCTGGGAAGGAGGAACGAAATTCTCCTATTACTTAATTTTGGTTAATTTAAATCTGAATAGCCAGATGTGACTAGTGGCAGCTGCACTGGGTAGCGCAGTCCCAGCTGCAGCCACGCGGGACAAGAACAGATGCAGTAATAACAGGGAGGCCGCGCGTCCCCTGCGATGCGGCAAAGACACGCCCCAGGGAGACTCACACACTTGGAGACGCCGCCTGAGCCCCTGCGTGCACGGCCCGCGCCGTGACGTCCCCCTGATGTGAGCCGGTGGGGGTGGCCTGTGACCGAGGCATGTTCGTGAGAGGAGCCGCCACGCAGAGGACCCCCGCCCAGTCCACGTGGACGCCCCACAGAGCTCAACGCTACACAACCAGACAACTCAGGATGTGCTCCCGCGGCTCCGACGCTGGGGAAATGCAGCCCTTTCTGACCGTGAGCGTGGAGGGAAAAGGCAAACGGAGGCAAGGAAACGCTGAAGTCAACACCAGAGGGACGCCCCTGGGGAGGCGGTGTGTCCGGTGAGCGCGGCCGCGGGGGCCCTCATCCTCCTCAAGCTCCGCCTGGGCTCGGGCTGCCGACTTCCTGGCTCTTCTTTAAACTGTCCTCACGTGTTACACGCACTTGACTTCCGGACGGAGTTCAGGGTGGCCCCAGCCAGCCTGGGGCCTTCAGCGACCCCATCAGCAGAGCCCCCGGCCCCTTCCCCATCCCCTCCCTCCCTCCACCAGGCAGGGCTCCTCAGATGTCCCAACAAGGGCAGGGAGGAGGGCAGCTCCCCTTGTGGCCAGCCTGGTGGTCCAAAGCTGTGCATTTCCTTTAAGCCTTCTGTTAGCTTAAATGTGGATGCGAATTTTAATCCACTCCATAACCAGTATGTAGTTGAATATATAAATGCGTATGACTATCTTCTTACTCACTTAAAACTGGAGCCTGGAAAAACTCTGCGCCGCCCAGTCCCCGGTACCACACTGGCACAACCTGCCTTCGCCGGACGCAACCGTGCTTGGAGTGGCTCCCGGAATCTGTCCCTCTGGGGCCCTCCGACCCGGCCTGCCAGCCCCTCTGCCCGTCAAACGGCTGGGGCTCGGGGCCCTGCGGCCAAGGTGGCCCAGGGCTGCGTGCTGAGCGCAGGTCGCGGGCCCGGCTCACCTACGGGGCGCCCCTCCTCCTTCTCCTTTATGTCCAGTTTTCCAGACTCCTTCTGGCTCGGCACATCTGCAGGCACGGACTCATTGCCCGCCGTCAGCTGCTTGGAAAAACTGGTGGCGACGTTACTGTCAAAACCCTTGTCTTCATATGTGAAGTTACTGCTCTGAAAAAGAGAACGTGACACCTTTACTGGCAGTTTCCACTTGCCTTTCCCATCAACCGTCCGCACCCGCCACCTGGGGAGGGCCACGTTGAGAGCCTGGCCGTATCCGGGCTGGGCGCCGCGGGCTCCCACAGCACCCCTCAACAGCTCTCTGGCGACCCGTGCCGGGCTCGTCCGGGGCTCAGGGCCCCTCTCGCCCAGGCGGGCTCCGCCTTGGCCCTGTCCCGGAGCCTGCTGCATGTGTGCACGCCGCCAAGTTCCTCCAGGACGCCTGCTCTTCCCCCACATGGGCTTGGGCCCCCACAGGCTCCAGCCCCGAGCTCTCCTGGCTTCAGCTCAGATCCCAGCGGGCTGAGAGCGGCCCAACCCCACCTCTGCTCCTTTCCCAGAGGTCACTGGCCCCCAGTCCTTTCCCCTGGGCTCACAACAGACCAACGGAGTGCCTGCCGTGTGCAACTCAGGGGCCACGGGGGGACACACAGGGCACTGCCTGGGTGGAGCTGCCGTCCAGCCGGACAGACACCCACCAGGAGAGGGCTGGTGCCCGCAGGGAGCCCTGAGGGCCCAGGCATTTGTCCTCACCCCCAAATAATCCCCCCCAGTGTCCATTGGCTGTGCTGGAAGTTGTCTCCACTGATGGGGTCCCACCTGTTTCCGCTTCCTCAGCAGCACACGTGCACAGCCTTCCCGTGAGAGGACCAGGGCCCCCCTCGCACCTTTGGGAGAGGGGCAGGTGCGGGGCAGGGTTTGCTGTGCTTTTCAGCCTGGGGTGTCTGGGCCGCCCGTCCCCACAGGCTGGGACTTTAGGGCCTGGAGCACTTGGCCACCACCTTGCCAACACGTATGACGGGACAGCATCCTGCTGCCCTGGGTGCACTCCTTACGGAGACAGATCTCTTCTACCTAGACTGACCGGAGGCCGTCCTACTTCTGGGCCTTCTCCCGCCCACACCGACGTGGCCCCCTTTACACTCGTGGGACTGCGTCTCGGGGCGGGAGATGCCACATGCTGCCCTTGGCCGGGCAGTCACGGCACTGACCAGGAGCAGCAGCACACTCACCGTGCTGAAGACCGACGGGGACGTGTCCATCTCACAGCACTCTGATGCCAGGAGAAACCTGAACCCGGTGCCCAAGCCCCCGAGGTTGGTCAGCGTGACGGTCCGGGATGCAGTCTCACCCACCACGCAGCTGCCGAAGTCGATGAGCTCCTTGTCGAGGGACAGCTGCCCAAGGACCCCGAGTGAGCCAGGGTGACCACACCAGGCTCGCAGCAAGCTCTCTTCTCCCACCTGTCACCCTGCACCCCTGAGGGGACACAGGAGCGCCGGCTGCCTCTGGCTCATGGCGGGAGGCAGGGCCTCTGCACAGCCCAGGACACAATCCACATCCCAGAAATCATAGACTGTGTACTGATCATGGCAGCTTGGGAGCACCTGAGTGCAAGTTTTGAAAAGTCAGGGACTTCCCTGGCGGCGCAGGGGTTAAGAATCTGTCTGCCAGTGCAGGGGACACGGGTTCAAGCCCTGGTCCAGGAAGATCCCACATGCCGAGGAGCAACTAAGCCTGCGTGGCACAACTACTGAGCCTGCGCTCTAGAGCCCACAAGCCACAACTACTGAAGCCTGTGCTCCACAGCAAGAGAAGCCACCGCAATGAGAAGCCCACGCACCGCAACGAAGAGTAGCCCCCGCTCAGCGCAACTAGAGAAAAGCCTGTGCAGAGCAACGAAGACCCAAAGCAGCCAAAAATAAATAAAATAAATAAATTTATTAAAGAAAAAACTGACATTACATTACATTACATTACACAGCTTACGTTAAAAAACAAGACAGGGAGTTCCCTGGCGGTCCAGCGGCTGGGACTCTGAACTTTCACTGTGGAGGGCCAGGGTTTGACTGCTGGTCGGGGAACTAGGATCCCGCGAGCCACATGGTGCAGCCAAAAAACCAAAACCAAAACCAAACATAAAACAAGACAGATCTCACATCAACAACTTACGTTTGCTACTGAAGAAATTAGGAAAAGAACAAACTAAATCCAAAGCTAGCAGACAGAAGAAAATAATAAAGATCAGAGCAGAGACAAACAAAGAGAGAATAGAGAAATAAAGAAAATTAATGAAATCAAAAGTTGGTTCTTCAAAAGCTCAACAAAATTGACAAACTTCTGCTAGATGGACTAAGAAAAGAAAGACTCAAATTACTAAAATCAGAAATGAACGTGGGGACATTAATACTGATGCTACAGAAGTAAAAAGCATTGTAAGTGAGTACTATAAACATTCATACCAACAACTGCAGCAAACCCAGATGAAATGTACAAATGCCTAGAAAACAAAAAACCTACCAACACTGAACCAGACAGAAATAAGACAATTTGAATAGACCTATGACTAGTAAGAACATTGAATGTATCATAAAAAATCTCCTGACAAAAAAAAAAAAAAAAAAAAAAAAAAAAATCTCCTGACAAAGAAGAGCCCTGAACCCGATGGCATCACTGATGAATTCTACCAAACAGTTAAAGAATACCAACCCTTCTCAAACTTTCCAAAAAAACTGAAGAGGTAGAAACACTTCATAACTCATTCTAGGAGGCTGGCATAACCCTGATACCAAAGCCAGACAAAGATACCACAACAAAAGAAAAGTACAGACCAAAACGCCTTATGAATATTGATGCAAAAACCCTCAACAAAATATTAGCAAACAGAATATACACAATGACCAAGTGGAATTTATTCCTGGAATGTAAGGATGGTTGAATGTAAAAATATCAATCAATGAAGTTTGTGACATCAGCAAAATGAAGGGGAAAAACCCACACGATTATCTCAATTGATGAAGAAAAAGCATCTGACAAAATTCAACACGCTTTTATAATAAAAGCACTCAACAAAATAGGAATAGAAAGAAACTACCTTAATATAATAAAAGCCAAATATGAAAGCAACATAACATAATATTGCAATATAACATAACATCATATTCAATGGTGAAAGACTGAAAGCTTTTACTTTAAGATGAGGAATGAGGGAAGGATGCCTGCTTTCCCCACTTCTATTCGACATAGTACTAGAAATTCTAGCCACAGCAATTAGTCAAGAAAAAAACGGTATCCACGTTGGAAAGGAAGAAGTAAAATGATCTCTGTTTGCAGATTACATGATCTTATATGCAGAAAATCCTAAAGACTCCACAAGAAAGCTGTTAAATCTAATAAACAAATTCAGCAAAGTAGCAAGATACAAAGTCAACACACAAGAATCAGTTGCATTTCTGTACATGAACAATGAACAATCTGAAAAGGAAATTACAAAAACAAATCCATTTACAATGACATAAAAAAAGAATAAAATTTTTAGGAGTTATCTTAGCCAAGGAGGTGAAAGGCTTGTACAATAAAACTACAAAACATTGTTGAAAGAAGATATAAATAAATGGAAACACATCCCACATTCATGGACTGTAAGACTTACTATTGTTAAGAAATCAATATTACCCAAAGCAATCTACAGATTCAATGCAATCCCTATCAAAATTCAAATGACATTTTTTAAAGCAACAGGAAAATCCATTCTAATATTCATATGGAATCACAAGGGACCCAGAATAGCCCAAACAATCTTGAAAAGGAAGAACAAAACTGGAGGAGTCATTCTTCCTCATTTCAAAACTTACTGCAAAGCTACAGTGATCACAACAGTGTGGCACTGGCATAAAGACAGACATATAGACCAATGGAGAACAGAGAGCCTAGAAATAACCCCTCACATATATGGTCAAATAACTTTTGACAAGGGTGCCAAGACCATTCAATGGGGGAAAAGACAGTCTTTTCAACAAATGGTCCTGGGAAAAGTGGATGTCCACATGCAAAAGAATTACCTAATTCCATACACAAAAATTAACTTAAAATGGATCAAGGGCCTAAATATAAGACCTAAAACAATAAAACCCTTAGAAGAAAACAAAGGGTAAAATCTTCACAACACTGAATTTGGCAATAATTTCTTAGTTACGACACCAAAGGTGCAGGCAATGAAAGAAAAAATGGACAAATTGGACTTTGTGACAGTTGAAAAAATTTTTATATCAAAAGACATTTTCTATAGAGTAAAATGACAGCCCAGAGAATGGGAGAAAATATTTGCAACTCATATATCTGATAAGGGGTTAATACCCAGAATGCACAGAGAACTCCTAAAACTCAACAACAACAAAACAAATAACAACCAAATTCAAAATGAGTAAAGGACTTGAATAGACATTTTTCCGAGGAAGACATACCCATGGCCAACAAGCACATGAAAAGATGCTCAACATCACTGATCATCAGGGAAATGCAAATCAAAGCTACAATGAGACACCACCTCACACCAATCAGGATGGCTCCTGTCAAAAAACCCCAGAAAACAACAAGTGCTGGTGAAGACGTGGAGAAATTGGAACTCTTGTGCACTGTTTGCGGGAATGTAAGATGGTGCAGCTACTGTAGAAAACAGTGTGGAGGTTCCTCAAATAGAACTACCATAGTTGCTGCTCCTGTCCCATTGTCACATGCCCCTCCCCCTCTCCTGAAGTGGCTCCAGGGGACTTAAAGGGCCAGCACACTTTCTTTCCTCCCCTCCTTCATTTTTCTCTTTTTCCTCATTTGTGAGTCAGATATTAAAGGTTAGGACGTACACAGGGAAAACCAGGAAGTGACCAGGCACGCCTAGGGAAAGGCTCAGAAGAGACCTGGGAAGACAGTAAGGTTACATCTCAGGCTGACCCTCAGCACAGAGAGAGCTGACAGCAATCAAAAAGCAAAGAAACAGAAACAATAACAAAAGACAGCAAACCCTGGAAAAGGGGAAAACCTGATTTCCAGAGTTACCGCATTATTAGATTCAAATGTCCAGTGCTCCACAATCATACAAAGAAACAGAAAGTATGATTCATTCAAAGAAAAACTAAATCAACAGAAACTGTCCCTGAAAAGGACTTGATGGCAGGTCTACATGACCAGGACTTTAGCACAACTGTCTTAAAGATGCTCAAAGAGGTAAAGGAAGGTGTGAAGGGAGTCAAGAAAATGATGTGTGAACAAAATGGAAATACCAGCGTTTCTAAAAAGAAACAACAACAAAAATCTGGAGCGGAAAAGTACCAGAACTGATGTGAAAACTCAGTAGCAGCATTCAGAGGTGGATCTGATCAGGGAGAAGACAGAATCCGGGAACCTGGAGACGGGACGATGGGGTCATCGAGGCTGAGGAAGAGGAAGAAAAAAGGCTGAAGAAAAGTGAACAGATCCTGAGGGGTCTGTGGGACACCATCAAGGGGCCACTATATGCATTGTGGGGTCCTAGGAGGAGGAGAGAAAAGGGCAGAGAGAGAATATGTCAAAAAATAATGGCCGAAAGGTTCCGGCATTCGATGAAAGGTATGATATAAACATCGAAGAAGTTCAACAAACCCCAAGTAGGATGAACTCCAAGAGACTCGTGTTGAGACACCTTCTAATCGGACTGTTAAAGGCCAGAGAAAGAGAGAGAATCTTGACAGCAGCAAGAGAGAAACGACCCGTCACACACAAGGAGCCTGAGGAACGTCATGGGCAGGTTTCTCATCACACTCTCTGGAGGCGAGGGGGCCGTGAGCCCATTTATTCCAAGTGCTCAAGGAAGAAAAATGTCAGTCGAGCATCCTACAACCTTTAAAAGTGAGGAAGAAATCAAGACAGTCCCGGAGAGACAGAAGCTGCGGGAGCTCCTCACCACAGACCCGCCTGCAGGAAACGCCCCAGCGAGCCCCGCAGGTGAGAGGAAAGGGCCCCAGACGGTAGCTCCAAGCTCTGCAGAGGGAAACACGCGGGCAATTATGGAAGCTGGTGTCACTGTCGCAATGGTTTGTAACTGCACTTTTAGTTCCTACATGGTTTAAAACACTAATACGTTATTTTAAAAAGCAATTATTAGTCCAAAAGCTAGTGTTACTGTAACTTTGGTTTGTAACTCCACATTCTGTTTTCTATATAACTTAAGAAACTAATGCATTTAAGAATTTTAGTTCATGTTACTGGACACACAAGTTATACAAATGTAATTCTGTGACATCAGTGACTGTGCAGAGTAGGAGCAAAGTTGTAAAGCAGCAGAGTTTTTGTAAGCTGTCGAAGTCGGCTAATACAAACCCAAGTCAGACTGTTATAACTCTAGGGTGTTAAATGTAATCTCACAGGAACCGCAAAGAAAATACGTGAAAGGACATGAGAGAGGAATTTAAACACTTCACTGCATAAAATCAACTAAACATAAAGAAGACAGTCGCGCAGGAAATGAGGGACAAAAGAGCTATGCGGCCACGAAAACAAAGAGCAAAAGGACAGAAGCAAAGCCCTCCACAGCAATCAGCCTGAAAAGGAAGGAAATTCTGACCCAGGCTACAACGTGGATGGACCTTGAGGGCACTGTGCTCAGTGAAACAAGCCAGTCACAAAGGGGACAATACTTGTGATTCCACTTGTAGAAGGCACTTAGCGTCATCGTGTTTGTAGAGACAGAAAGCAGAATGGAGGTCGCCAGGGGCTGGAGGGAGCGCTTAGTGGGGACAGAGCTTCGGTTTGGCAAAACGAAGAGCTCTGGTGAGGGCTGCGCAACAGCGTGAAATGCTTAACACCCCTGCTGCGCACTAGAAACGGTTACGGTGGCATCTTCTACGCGGTGTGTATTTAACCCCCCTGAACCGTGCGCCTAGAAATGGTTAAGACGGTATATTCTACGCGGTGTGTATTTCACCACAACTCAAGCCTGAAAAAAAGAGACTTAAGAACCTAATAATCCCATGCAGTGTGTGAGCCTGACTGTATCCCAGCTTAAAAAATCACAGCTATAAAAGCTGGTGTGGGGACACTTCAGTACATTGGAATGTGCACTGGTGACAGGCGATAGCTAGGAGTGTGGTTAATTTTATTCTAGATGCATGCTGACGTTTTATAAGGATGGGGGCTGAGTGCTGTGATATCGCTAAGTCACTTGGAAGTGGGCCAGCAAACACAGACAGGTGGACAGCTGAGGCAAGTGGGGCACATGTTGACAATGATTGGACTCTGGAAGTGGGTACATGGATATACATTGTACTATTCTTTCTGCTCTTCATTACTTTGAAACTTTTCTTAATTAAAAGAAAAAATCCATTCTGCACAGCAAAGGAAATCACCAACAAAAGGAAAAGGCAACCTATGGAATGGGAGAAATTATTTACAAATCACATACCTGATAAAGGGTTAATATCCAAAATATATGAAGAACTCACACAACTGAATAGCAAAAACAAACAAACAAAAAAACAAACAATCTGATTTACAAATGGGCAGAGGAACTGAATAGATATTTTTCCAAAGAAGACATCCAAATGGCCAGCAGGTACATGAAAGGTGGTCAGTATCACTAGTCATCAGAGAAATGCAAAGCAAAACCACAGTGGGACATCACCTTATACTGCTGGAATAGCTATTATCAAAAAGAAAGAAATAACAAGTGTTGGAGAGGACGTGGAGAAAAGGGAACCCTCGTGCGCTGTTGGTGGGAATGAAATTAGTGCAACCACTACGGAAAACAGTATGGGGGTTCCTCAAAAAATTAAAAGTAGAATTACCATATGATCCAGCAATTCCACTTCCGGGTATTTATCCAAAGGCATGAAATTGGTATCATCAGAAGAGTTGTGTGCATGCCCATGTTCACTGAAGCACCATTTACAAAAGTCAAGACATGGAAGCAACCTAAGCGGCCATCGATGGATGGATGGATAAAGAAGATGTGGTGCATATGAAATGGAACGTTATTCAGCCATTAAAAAGGAAACCTTGCTATTTGCGACAACCTAGATGATACTGAGCTAAGTGAAATAAGTCAGGCAGAAAAGACAGATACTGTATGATCGCACTTATATGTGGAATCTAAAAAACGTGGAACTCACAGATACAAAAACAGATGGTGGTTCCCAGAGGCAGGGGTGGAGATGGGCAAAATGGGTGAAGGGGGTCCAAAGGCACAAACTTCAGTTATAAGGTCTGGGGACGTAAGATGCAGCATGGCAACTATAGCTCAAAAAAGAAAGGGATCAAAGGGACCCCACAGAGCTTTCAGGAGGAGCAGGGTCTCCTCTGACCCGGGGTTCCTGCAATCCGGGCTCCACCCAGCACAGGACTCGCCTGGACGTTGCCAGCGTTGCCACGGGTGCCCACCTCCCAGGCTGGACGCCTCAGGCCCCGGCCGCCCACCCTCCCAACCCAGACGCTTGGTGAGAACTCACGGAGCATTTCTTCGCTGAACATTTCAGTGGCACGGAAAACCTGCCCGTCTGAGCCAGAAACGAGACATTTCCTTCCAGATCTTTGTTTACCTAGAAAGTAAAACCACCCAACCGCGCACATGCTCGCAGCCCTCCGCGGGGACATGCGCTGTCCGCACAGGCACGGCCACCACCCCCGCCCAAGGGAGGGGTCCACGGAGCGCGCCCCCTCGGACCCGCTAGCGTGAGTGCTCACACCTGGCAGCCAGCGGCACAGAGGAGCCGCCTTGTCACCCTGCTGGCATTGAGGGACATTCCAATACGTTTTGGGCATAAAACAGCCTAACGGGGGCCCGCGTGACCCCTTCTGAGGTGTGTCCCTCCTCCGTCACAGCACTCTGTGGAGCCTGGGGGGCAGCGGAGACCCCGATTCCACCCACCACCCTCTTGCGACAGGGTGAGAAAACCCCCTTTTCCACGGCTTGGCCTCAACACTCACCATGGGCTTGAAGGTGACAAGCACTTCACAGGACATGCCGGCTGGCATGGGACCAGGGGGGTCAAAGCTGCAGGTGCAATGAAGGCGGGAGGTGAGCGCCCTGTGCTCGTGCAGAAGCCACTGTCCAAACAGCCGGCGCCCCAGAGGGGCTTTGGGGCCCCCCTCTCGCCTGTCCTGGGTGCTGAGCCCCTGCTGCCTCGCCAGGACTCAATTCACAGGAGATGCTCGAGGAACACCTGAGAGTCAGTTGTGTGAGTGAAGGGCTGAGGGAAGGAAGGAAGGAAGCGGGGAGGGGAGGGGGGGAGGGAGGGAGGGAGGGAAGGAGGGAGGGAAGGAGGGAGGGGGAGGGAGGGAGGAGGAAGGGGGGAGGAAGGAGGCAAGTCCCCAGGGGCCAACTCCAGAGGGACAGATGCTCTGGGGTGAGCAGTGGTCACAGTCCCCCCAAGAACATGTGCGAGGCCTGAACCAAGGATCTAGGGTTTTAGGATCAAGGTCAGGTGTGTGAGACAGGTAGGGAGCTGGGACTGTGGGCCCTGCATTCAGCTGGAGCCCTCTGAGCTCCACTTTCAGTGAAAGACCCAGAAAAACAGCCCCACCTTCCTGGGGACACTTGGAGGGACTTGGTCTGGATTTGGGTGAGAAAAAGAAGCCCCTCACAAAGTTTCTAACACAAAGTCCATTTTCACAAGGTTGGATGTTACCTACTGTACTTTGTACAGAAATAACACAAGCTAAAAATTTAATATAAAAATCTGTCCCTGGCTGGCAGCATCCCAGTGGCAGCAGGAAGAAGCAAATCCAAACCTCCTCGGATCGGGAGGGAAGCAGTGTGATGTCAGACTAACAGAGGCCCGAGGGTGGAGCCTCAGCCGTGGGAAGATCCGAACCCAGATTTCAACGTCCGCGCAGAGACCAGCACGAAACACGGCGAGGGGCAGGGCCAGACTCCAAGGATGTCAGGCAGTAGAAAGACGCAGAGAATTACAGACGTGAGAAAAGAACAAGAAATACCAGCTGATCCGGAAAAGAACTTAGAATTTTCAGAAATGAGAAATACGGCAACCGAAGTTAGACACATAACAAGCAATTTCAACAGCCGATTAGGTACGACCAAGGAGAGAAGTACTCAACAGAGGGACGGACCCCGGGACACACTGAGAAACCTGCTCAGGGAGATGACGGGGCGGGGGTGGGGGGGATGTGAGACAGGCGTCAGGAGGTGTGGGGGGCACAGAACAGACAGGGTTCGAATCGGAACACGGGGGCAGGTCTGTGAGGATGGGAGGTAGGCGACACCTGAAGGGACAGGGCGGAGAAATGTCCACAGCTGTTCAAAGAGCTGAATCCTCCCATCGGGAAGCACAGGGAGTTCTAAGCAGCCCTAGGAAAGGTCAGTCCACACCAGACACACTGCCGTAGACATGCAGGACCCCAAGGGGAGGGCAAGCTCACGGCAACCTGAGGAAAGAGCTCGATAACCTACAAAGACAGGGGATCGGACGGAACAGTAACAGCAGAAAACAGGAGACGGGGGAGTAAGAGCCTCCGAGTGTGGAGAGGAAATGCTGCCAATAAAAAATTCTTGCTCCAGGCTTGGGGAGGGGCGCCTCAGGGTGGCCTAGGTGACAGCGACCACCCAACTCTGGGCCTCTGCCGACTCCTCCAGAAACCCACAGCTCAACAGGAAGAACTAGCAACACAGGAAAGCCCCCCGCTGTCAGCATGCCTGGAAGGCGGAGGACACGCGGGCGATAAACACGTGAGCCTCTGCAGACCCCGCGCCCGGCCACAGTCGGCACAGAACGGACAGCGCGTCCTTCGCGGGGAGGCTGACCAGAGCTGTGGACTCAGGGAGCAGCCCCGGGAAGCCCCTGGGGGCAGAGGGCAGGGCCTTGGAGGCTGCAGCACTCACAGCAGGAGCCCCCGGGACCTCCAAACCGAGGACAGAAGCTGGAGAAACCAGGGCGGGGAGGAGAAAAAACTTAACGGCAAAGGCAAAATGCTCAAGGAGCAGAAGAGAAGAGGGTCCCGCAGAAGACACAGCAACGGTGGTTACAAGAAAAATGAGGGGAAAGCAAAACAGGAAAGAAGCAAGGATTACAGGGACCAGAAAGAAAATCAGACACAAAAGAGGACCCAAGTCAGGTATCAGTGGGGTCTCAAAGGAAGAAACCTGAAACCCTGCAACAGAGGAAAAATTTAAATACATTGGACCCACCTCCTAGAGTAATGAAAGTAACAGAAATAAACAAATGGGACCTAATGAAACTTCAAAGCTTTTGCACAGCAAAGGAAACCATAAACAAGACGACGAGACAACCCTCAGAATGGGAGAAAATATTTGCAAATGAAGCAACGGACAAAGGATTCATCTCCAAAATATTCAAACAGCTCGTGGAGCTCAATACCAAAAAATACAAACAACCCAAATAAAAAATGGGTGGAAGACCTAAATAGACATTTCACCAAAGAAGACGTAACAGATGGCCAAGAGGTACATGAAAAGATTCTCAACATCACTAATTATTAGAGAAATGCAAATCAAAACTACAATGAGGTATCACCTCACACCAGTCAGAAGGGGCATCATCAGAAAATCTACAAACAACAAATGCTGGAGAGGGTGAGGAGAAAAGGGAACCCTATTGCACTGTTGGTGGGAATGTAAATTGATACAGCCACTATGGAGAACAGTATGGAAGTTTCTTAAAAAACTAAAAATAGAATTACCATATGACCTAGCAATCCCACTGCTGGGCATATACCCTGAGAAAACCATAATTCAAAAAGACACATGCACCCCAATGTTCATCGCAGCTCTATTTACAATAGCCAGGACATGGAACCAACCTAAATGTCCATAGACAGATGAATGGATAAAGAAGATGTGGTACATATATACAATGGAATATTACCCAGCCATAAAAAGGAACGAAATTGGGTCATTTGTAGAGACGTGGATGGACCTAGAGTCTGTCATACAGAGTGAAGCAAGTCAGAAAGAGAAAAACAAATACCGTATATTAACGCATATATGTGGAACCTAGAAAAATGGTACAGGTGAACCTATTTACACGGCAGGAATAGAGACGCAGACGTAGAGAACGGACATGTGGACACAGTGGAGGGAAGGGGAGGGTGGGACGAATTGGGATATTAGGTTTGACATAAATACACTACCACGTGTAAAACAGATAGCTAGTGGGAACCTGCTGTATAGCACAGGGAGCTCAGCTCGGCGCTCTGTGATGACCTAGGTGGGTGGGATGGGGGGGGGGGGGAGGGAGGTACAAGAGGGAGGGGATGTATGTAGACATACAGCTGATTCACTTCATTGTGCGGTAGAAACTAACAGAACCTTGTAAAGCAATTTTACTCCAATAAAAAAAAAAGAATTATTGGATACAATTAAAAGAAAAGAAAAAAAATTTAAATACAGAGTTCAAGTACACATTCCCGAAATAAAAGATGGCTTTTTTCTTCACCTTGAAAAGGCACAAGGCCCTCCAGGGAAATCTTACCCAGAGTGGTCAACCTCAAAACACAATGAAGGGGAAAACATCAAGCCATTTATCAGGGAAAACTGGGCTGCTCTCAGGAAGGCGGAGGAGCCACTTTACAAAATGCCCACGGGGACCCAAGCTGAAGGTTTTGTGCCCAAAATGTGGGTCAAATAAAAAGGCTCTGATAGCAGTTGCAGGGACTGAAGCACCCGCCCCGCGCGCCGCCCGCCTCCCCCCGACCCCCGCGTGCCGCCCGCCTCCCCCCACCGCCACCCGCGCGCCGCCCGCCTCCCCCCCACCCCCTAGTACTCGATGTGGATGAAGTCCCCGAGGCGCTCCTCCACGCCCACCAGCTTGCAGTAGTTAATCGTGTAGGTGGCGTTAATCAGCGTGATCTTTTTCTTGTACACTTTGCCGATATCAAAGTCCTAGGAAAAGCAGATAAAAAGTTACTGCTCCGGGCTTCCCTGGTGGCGCAGTGGTTGAGAGTCCGCCTGCCGATGCAGGGGACACGTGCCCCGGTCCGGGAGGATCCCACATGCCGCGGAGCGGCTGGGCCCGTGAGCCATGGCCGCTGAGCCTGCGCGTCCGGAGCCTGTGCTCCGCAATGGGAGAGGCCACAGCAGTGAGAGGCCCGCGTACCGCAAAAAAAAAAAAGAAAACAAAAGTTACTGCTCCGAGTTTTCTGGCGGATGCTTCTCGGCACCTGACATTCCCGCCTGGGAGATGGGGACACCCTCCATGGTCTCGTAGGATCCCCGCCTCAGGCAGGAAGCGGCCTCCTGGGGACCAGCGGGTGGGGGTCCGCCAGCAAAGGGTCGGGTGGTGCCTGGGTCCTCCAGAGGGACCAGGAAGGTGTGACGTGCCAGCCCCCCAGGACAATCGCCCTCCTGGGGCTGGTGTCTGACCCCTCGTGTGAGACCGGGCCCTGTCCCCTCAGCCCCAGGCGAGGACCCTGGGCTCACCTTGAAGTGGACGAGCTTGGGCTTGCTGTGGAAGGGACACCCTCTGAACTCGCGCCTGGATGCCACCTGCTTGTGGGTCACCCCGCGGCACAGCTGCTGCGCAGTGCGTGCCAGGATGTCCTTGTCGGTCTTCGTTCCGCCCACGGACTTCTGGTCCACATCCTCCTTGGGCACCTGGGGTTTTGTGGGGACAGTGGTCAGCTCGGGAGCCCCCCCAGGGCTCCCTGAGGTCAGCTGGGGAGTAAAGGAAATGGACAGCCCGGAGCCGGGGCCCACCACGGCCGCATGGGGCCGGGGTGGGGTGGGCACCAGCAAGGCGGGGGAGGGGGTATGGCAGGGTCAGGGGAGAAACAAGGGGTCGAGCAGGGCCATCCAGGATCCGGCGGATTTCCAGGAAATAATGGCAGAGGGGTATTTTCTAGATTTTAAAATCAGGCCAAGAGAAAGTTCTTGAAAAACTCTACCGGAAGCAACATTTTTTCAGTGGTACAAATAAAGATGCCTCCCTGACCGGCTTAGTGACTTGAAGAAGGACCCTCTGGGGGCCTGGTTCCCGGTGCCCCTGCTGGCCCAGGGGCTGGCATCCTCCTGCCTCGCTCTCCTGGGTGGGAGCCGGCCTGCTGACCGGTGGTGCCCAGGGAGTGGCCGGGCCCGAGCAGAGCAGCGGCAGGCCTCCTCAGAACCAGCGGAACCAAAATGGCTTTGCCCTCAGAGCGATGGGAACCAACTTGTACACAGACCAAGGCCGGGCGATGTCCTCCAGGTGGCCGCGGGCCTCCGCTGACCAGTGCAGAGACAGGGCCAGAGCCTGTGTCCTGCTGCGTGCAGTGGACACTCGCTAGCTTCTCGGCTCCCAGAGCTGTGCCTGCCCTCTTAGAGCCAGGACGATCAGTGCTCTGGATAGCGCGTGTTCTGTGACAAGAGGCCGTCAAAGCAAGTGTGAGCTCATGCCTTTTTCTAGCGACACATTTCCCCAGTAGTAAGCTGGAGAGTTAGGACTCGGCCCCACCCCTCGAGCCCCCTGCCTCATCCCTCCACGTGTGGCCACCACTGGCCCTGTGGTTGTTTGGGAGGGAGGTGGCTGGGGGGGACCGCAGAGCAGCCCCCGCGAGGGGGGCCGCCACGGTCGCCAGGACAGGGTGGAGACGTGGGAGACGGATGAAAAGATGTGGCCGCGTGTCCAAGGGGCTACCTGGTACGGCTTGCAGTCCTCCTTCCAGAGCCCGGGGATCTCCGGCTGAGCCAGCGTCCCCGCCTCCCGGCCAAGGCTCCCCCTGTCCGCCTGGACGGACTCGCTGGACGCGGCCTTCACCAGCAGAGAGGCTTGGGGTAACGCAGACCTGCCCTCCTGGAGTTGGGGAGAGGAACGCGACAGCCTATTCTAGAAAACAGAGATTGTACTGACTGGGAGGAAGAAAGTGCAAACCCTCGGGACTCCAGAGCCTTGGCAGACGACCCAGCCCCGCTCTGCACTCAGAGACCAGAGCACACATGGGTTTGCAACTTCTGTTTACAGCATGAGTGTCTTTACACATCGTGAAAGCCTGGTCTCCAACGCCCAGAAGAGCCACAAAACTCTAACTTATGGACACCCCGGAACCCCCTTCACGGACCCTCAGCTGCTCTAGGGCCAGACGGGGCCTCCCTCCAGGGACCTCAGGCTGGCACAGGGACAAGAATGGAGGGCGATGTTGCTGGAGGCGTGAGAAAGGCCCCACGTGGAGAAGGGCAGGAGCACGGCTGGGGGCGAGAGGACAGAGAGGCACAGCTTTGGGGGGCACCCACGAAGCAGCCTGGGGGTTCCGGCTGGCAGCGCATTGCTGGAGCCAGTGACCTGGGCCTTCAGGCTGGGGGCACACAGAGCAGAAGCAGAAGGGCTGCCGGGCTCAGGATGGGGTCCCGACGTCCCTACCCCACACCCTCAGGGACAGGTAAGCAGGTCACCTGTGGGGTGACCGGCACAGGGCCGGCCCTCTATGTGAGGACTGAGTGCGGGAATGGAGGGAAGCGGCCCGGCTCCGGGGCGAACATGCGTGGGGGGTGGACGGGGGCACACGTCTCCCCTGGGCCGTGATGGGCCTTTGGTCACCAGCCTGGCTCTGGCATCTGGGGACGGGTAAGGTGGCCCAAGACAATCCTGTTCAGGGGACATGTGGCGATGGGGGTCTGCTTCCCGAGGCGGGCCAGGCGCCGGAGACCGGGGGGGAGCCGCGAGGGACATGGAACACGTGCACCAGGGCTGGGGCCGCCTGGCGACCGGAGGCTGTGCCTGCATCCGGCGAAGGGGCGGAGGGGCAGGAGCGCTCTCCGCGGTCCTGATCGGAGCTGGCCGGTGCGGTCCAGTGTAGCAGGGGCGTCCGCTCACCGGGGGGCAGCAGGGCAGGTCCGCCGGGCCCTTCCCGTCATGGAAAGCGGCCACGTAGCTCCAGGTCTGGTCCCTCAGGATCGGCCGGCCCGCGGGTCTGGCGGGCGAGGGCCGCTGCTTCCTCCTGGCCTCCTCGGCCTCCTCCTTCAAGATCCGACTCACAATCTCGTGCTTCCTGAGCTTCTGCTCCTCCTTGAAGGCGCTGTGGGGAAAACGCTAGCTGCACCCAGACCCCGAGAGGCTCGGCCCGCAGGAGCCGACGGAGGGAGCCCAGAAGGGCGGCCAGGCCAGAGACCTGGGACGCGAACCTCCGGCCCAGCGCCGTCCCCGCCACAAGCCTCGACCCCGTGAGCTGTTGCGTCCCCCACTCCGGGTTCCCAGGCGCCACTGGGCGCCCTGAGGCTCAGACCAGGGCAGTCTCAGGGCTGGAGGCCGGTCACTCAGTCAGTCATTCCCGCTGCTCCTTGCTGGTGCCTCCCACCTGCCAGGACTAAGGGCTCCGAGGCAGGAGGAGCTGCCCCCGGGACCCCTGCAGGCAGGCGATGACCCAACGCCGGGGCTGGCACTCAGGACACCGCGACTCCCCAGTGACAGGACCGGGTGGCCACACCTGGGCAGGTGCTGACAGTGACCACGATGGGCGGGGCTGCTTGTGGGGGAAGGGACAGGCCCTCCAGGATGAAGAGGAAGTGACAGAACCTTGTGTGCAAGGCTGGGCTGAGGCAGGAGAGTTGGCCACCTCACCCTTGCATCTTGGGAAGCCCCCGGGCGGACCCCTGTGTCTCAGGTCGGGTGCAGCCTGGGGAGCTGAGAATGGGGGACTTGCAGGCCGAGGGGTTCTTAGGGGATGACGGGGTGCAGCGTGGACTGAGGCAGCACTGAGCCCCGGTTTGGGGGAGCCCAGAAAGTGAGCCCCGGCTGCCCGCAGCCTTTGGGAGGGAGGAGGCCATGGGCGGGGGATGCCCGGGGCAGCAGGGGCAGTGGGGGCTGTGCCTGAGGCCCAGGAGACATCCTGCCTGCTGGGGGCTGGAGAGCAGGATGCGGGGGGTGGGGGGTGGGAGGGGGAGGCCCAGGGAGAGAGGCAGCCTCGCCGCAGGTTGTGACAGACACACCCGCCCACCACTCTGGGATGCCGCCCCACCAGGCCCTCACCGGTTCTGGGCCTCCAGCTCCTGGCGCCGGCGTTGATGGCAAAAGTGCTTGAAAGCGTCCCCACCTTGGGCCAGAATCACCTCCTTCTCGGCCTGGGCCCTCTGTTCCGCCAGCTCTGCCTTGGCCTGGCCCCATGCTTGAAATTTCCGGAGCGTCTCCTTGGGAATAGAGAACATGGACGTGCCGGCATCCCAGGTGTGCGCGTGCGCAGTGGGGCTTTCTGTGGGCTGGGTGCCCTCAAGTCGTACCCGAGGCGCCGGAGGCCAACGTTTGTGGAAATCACCGCTGCTCCCGCCTGCACGCGCCTCCTGAAGCTGCCCCCCCAAATCCTCAGGGGCTTCCCGAGGCCAGAGCCCCGCTGTCTCCACTGGACTGGCGGCTCACTGCGCATCCCTCCCCGCTTCCCTGGTCTAACTGCCCCCCAGGCCCCGGGGGGTATCACTTCCCCTGGGAAGGCCCGGGGCTCCAGCACTCCCCTCGCCGAGCCCGGGTCCCCCTGGAGCGCGGGAGCCTGTCCAAGGGCAGGTGAGCGCATCCTGAGGGCGTCGGGAGGTGGGGCCAGTCCTACCCGGTTGGCGGAGATGCTGTTCTTCAGGGCCAGCACGGCGTCCATGCGCCTGCGCGCGTGCTCGCGGCTCTCCAGCTCCTCTCTCTGCTCCTGCTTGCGGATCCTGGCGGGGAGGACCTGCTCATGGCGCAGTGGCCACCGGGGGGAGGAGCCCCAAGGAAGCAGCCAAGCGCCATGATGTTAAAGGCAAGTGGGAAAGAGCTGGGCTGCGCGTGGACCATGAGGAAACGTGAAAGCCGTTTCTCTAGACTGGAGTCCTCGTCTGAAACTAACGGCCGTCAGCTCAAAGCTGGAAACACACGTTTATTCTTTCTGGGTGAGGAGGTGAGGGCTCAATGATAAAATCGGAGGATTTCAAATCGGAGGCAATCGACGCACGTCTCAGGCTTCCCTGCGTGGGCGGGGCTGGGGCGAGGGGAGGGACAGGAGGAGAGGCGCCGAGAGAAGAGAGCCGCAGTACCTCCCCAGGGAGGCCTTCAGGAACTTCACGGCCTTCCGATGGTTCTTCTGGGCGTCTTCCACCAGCTTCTGGTGCCTGAGCCCGTGCTCCTTCTGCAGGTACACGGACCTCCTGCAGGGACACGGGGCAGCGGGAACAGGGACACGTCCTGTGCAGGCTTGGCCGCAGAGGGCCCGGGACCAGGGCCAAGTGCATGAGGCGGGAGGGCCCTGCGCTGTGCCTGGTAGGGGGCGGGGCCGTGGGGACCCTGTGGGTGTCCACAGGCTCGGATCCCACGGAAGCAGCAGGAAGATCTGGCAACGGGCTGGACAAGGTGGGGGGTGGGAGAGCCGGAGGACCTGTGAGGACCCCGTGCCGGGGCGAGGGCGGGGGGCCCCCGGGGGGGGGCTGCGTCCCCCGGCCTGCAGCACACCTACTCCACTGGCCCCACCCTCAGAAGCAGCTGCCCGCGGGGCACGGGCAGTGTCGGGGCCTCAGGAGGACGGGCCACAAGGAGTGGCCAGGGCCGGGAAGAGGGCAGGGCGTCCAGGAGGGAGGCAGCCATCAGGTCAGGGAGCGAGCGTGGCCCAAGTCACTCTGCCCAGGCTGGGGCTGGGTGGGCAGGGGCGCAGGCGTGGGGCGGGGGGGGGGGGGGGGCG